ATGTTTATCTTATATGTGCAACTCTTTGAATTCTGCTGTCATCAGGATCCATCCACCACCTACCTTTGGTTCATCTCCTAATCTTGAAGCATTTGCACTTCAAGCAAATAGATACCATGTTGAAGATGGAGGTAGTGCAATGAGTTCAACACCATTCTTTTCTAGGTAAGAAATGAACATTCAGCCCAATCTTAAGTAGTCAGTCTTCCACTGCAAAGTGGCTTCTCCCCATCACTTTTTAGAGGTGTTTAGTTTGTTAAACAATCTGCTATTTTGTTTGTTTAGTTTTGATAATGGTGTCTGCCCATGGACTGGGTTTGCATGTGTGAGTGAGAGAGACAGAAACAGAGAGATAGAAGAAGTCATGGTTTCTCCATTTTCTTAAAAGTTTCATCTGCAGTGGAATATGTTTTATGTTCTATAGGATAGTTAGTGAACGGTGTGTTAAAAAAATTACTGTATTCTAGAATTTTTACATTTTGTTTCCGGTGCTCTCTCTCTCCTAGTTGTCAACTTTTCATAATTTATAAGATTTTGGGCTCTACTAGCTAAGTTGGGTGGGGCTACATATTTTAGGCTTATGCTCATGAGCCTTCTATACCCCAAAGAAAAGAGTTTGATGTTGTTTACCATGAACACAAACACAAATATTCTTAGTACTTTATTTGTGTTGGTTTGTTAATTTTGGTGTTAATTGTGTAGGCCTATGCATGAGATCACGTTTTCAACAGTTGACAAGCCCAAACTTCTTAGTCAGGTAGTCCTCATCTTTATATTCACATGCCTGCGGTGGACCTTTAGGTTTTTACCAAATATTATTCAAATACATGCCATCATCTTTTGTTTTGGATGCTTTTACATTAGCTGATTACACATCTGATTATGCTCATATCTATTGATATTCGGCATACATCATTAAAATATGTGTTTCAATTTTCCTTCCAGAATTTCCTATATGGTGGCTTTTGTTTTATATTTGATATCATTAAAATTCTATGATCAAACTTGAGTACCAAGATACATAATGTCTCTAAACTTTGTTCCATCCATTTAAAGAATATCTTAAACAATGATGTTTTCTTAGTTTCCATATTCCCATCTTCGCTGTGATATATATATATATATATATATATATATATATATAGGTTACTGCTGAATGGCTTTGAAAATTCACATTTGTTTATCAGTGGTTATTTGTTGCATGCAATTGGAAATTTGTGCTTGAACTGGAATTCAATCAAGAGGCAATGGACATGTAGGTTTTTAGTTTCCTTTTATAGAATAAGTTTTTATTTTCTAAAAGGAGTATGCTGTAATAGGATGATCTGACTAGTGGGGCTCTAGAGTCTTGATTTGTCTATTTTCAACCATGTAAATAATGTCAAATGTTTGGAACTCTACCAGGTAGCTCAGAGTGACTTATCTTTTTCCACGAGGTATGTTTGGTGGAACAGTTCCTAGGTTGTGAACCTTAGAATTTCTTGTTAATTGATTAGGCTATCAACTGAATATAATTGTGAGTTTTCTAGAATGTCTAAGATTCAACAGTTATATGGAAAATTTTGTGTCCTGTCTGTCTCTGACTGAAGTACTCACTCACTCGCTTACTAAAAAATACATCTTAGTGATTAATTTTCCAGTTAACTTCATTACTTGCTGAGATTGGACTGAATATTCAAGAAGCTCATGCTTTTTCCACTGTCGATGGATTTTCTCTGGATGTTTTTGTGGTTGATGGTTGGCACTATGAGGTACGAGTTTGGATGTTTCAGCATAGATGTTTGAGTCACATTCTTCTTGGTCATTGAACGAAGTGTTCTTCCATGTGGGAACATTTAGGAAACCGAGGAGCTTAAAAGTGTGCTGCAAAAGGAAATTTCAAAATTAAAGGTAATTTTGCTACTTAATTTTCCTTAGTTTATTGTTGTGTATGATCTAGAACAAAAGTTGAATTGTCTCGTGCTTTGAATAGACTGAGACTATTTATGGATATGTGAATGCTCTGGCTGGTTTCATTTCAAATTTAGTGGACGTTTTTTTTAAATCTTGTGAAAGCCGGATACCACCTAACTTGTAACCATCAGTCAGAAAGTTTGGGTTCACCTTTCTCAGGTGATCATGTGATTCACTGTGAATTCATCCTTTGTACCATCTTTCAATTTCATAATTTGTTTTCCACTACTAGTTGATTATTTAATAAAACCATTTGCAATCCATATTGCTAATAATACTTCACTTGCAAATCCAGACTCGTAGTTTATTTTAAACTTTAATACTGTCTATTTCTATGCGAACCAATTTTTGGTATAGGTTTTGCCATATTTTATCATCTCATAAATATAAGTCAGAGATATATGGATATATCCATTTCATGCCATGGAATATGCATCTATTTTGCCCCCCCCACCCAAAAGAAATATTCATTAATGATATTTCTCAAATGTTTTGCAGGAGCAATCTTGGTCAAAACAACATCCAATTGCTGCTATTGGCGAGGACAACCAAACAAGGAATGAGTCCTTCCCGGATTGCATAGAAATACCAACTGATGGAACAGATGTCTGGGAGATTGATACGAGGCAGCTGAAATTTGAGAACAAAGTTGGATCTGGGTCATTCGGTGATCTGTAAGTTATATTTTGAATTCTGTGTTGGATTGCATGCAGGTGCTTGTTTGACATTCTATTTCCAACTTCTTTCAGGTACAGAGGCACATATTGTAGTCAGGAGGTTGCCATAAAAGTTCTCAAACCGGAGCGCGTCAATGCAGAGATGTTGAGAGATTTTTCACAGGAAGTTTATATACTGAGGTTTATCTAAATACTGCGTATGCTTGTTAGTGGCAGTTGTCATTTTTATACATCTTTTTTAAACTTCATGATATCATGATTTTGGCAGGAAGATTCGGCATAAGAATGTTGTGCAATTTATAGGTGCATGTACAAAGCCTCCAAACCTATGCATTGTGACAGGTATATATAAGAGAATCCTTTATATTAACAATCCTCATGTGCTCAAGTATCTCATTATATGAGATGTCATGATTGTTACTGATGGCTGCTGTACTTTCATCTTTGCTACATCATGTCTACTAGTTACAACTAGAAGAAAATAAGTCTGTGGTGTTGTGATAGAAGTGATTGGTAACTTCTACGAATTTTCATTTTATGAAATATGTGGTGCATTTTGAATTTGTTATTTGTACGTTTACTTGGCCTCCTTTTTCAATTCACTGACAAACACCTTTTGATGCTTATGTTTCTGCTTATCAGAATTTATGTCCAGAGGAAGTGTATACGACTTTCTGCATAAACATAGGGGTGTGTTTAAGCTTCCCTCTCTGCTCAAAGTAGCAATTGATGTTTCCAAGGGAATGAACTATTTGCACCAAAATAATATAATCCACAGGGATCTTAAGACAGCCAATCTTCTGATGGATGAACACGAAGTAAGTGGATTCCCCGGTTCTTCAGTGAATGATTCATTGTGTGTCAAATATGTTTTTCCTTTGCATTTATAGAGATTTAAATTCAAAAAGAACTTTCGTGTGTCAATTAACTATTCTTTCTTAAGCATGTTTTCTTTGATTTGTAATGATTAAAGTCGTAGATCTTTCTTGTACAGGTCGTTAAGGTTGCTGATTTTGGCGTTGCCAGAGTGCAGACTCAATCTGGAGTGATGACAGCTGAAACTGGAACATACCGCTGGATGGCTCCTGAGGTAGGCATCTTCTTGGCTATCAACTTTTATTTTGTGGAATAATATTGCAAAGAGAATAATTTCCTAGTGTTTTAAGTCAAAACTGCTTTATAGTGATACGATTAATAGTTTAGTAATTCGTGGGGTTCATACTCAAATCAACTAAGCTTTTATCCACAAGGGTATTTACAGCTATCATGGGGTTTAACAATGACTAGGTTGGTTGATTGGACTTTAATTCATTTTTTCTTGAATGAAGGTCATTGAACACAAACCATATGATCACAAGGCAGATGTTTTCAGTTTTGGAATAGTACTGTGGGAGCTTCTAACAGGACAAGCAAGTGCTATTTTTCTTTGCAAGAATAATTTTTTTTTTCCCTAATTACTTCAGCAATCCATGAGTTCATAATGGCATTAATTTCAAAACTCATGGTCATCTTTTTGATGTATTTACCAGCTCCCTTACTCATCCTTGACCCCATTACAAGCAGCAGTAGGTGTGGTGCAAAAGGTATACTTACCCTCCCAATTTGGCATAATGTAACATGCACAATATTATTATCGAATCACTCTAATTGGCATGGCTGTCCTGTCAGGCCTTACGACCTACAATTCCCAAGACCACTCACCCAAGGTTCGCCGAACTGCTTGAGAGATGCTGGCAGCAAGACCCAACTCAAAGACCCCACTTCTCCGATATTGTAGAAATCCTGCAGAATTTGGCCAAGGAGGTACTTTCTTACCCAACTGTAAACCTTCTGGCCCATAAAACATATTTAAATCCTTTAATTTTGAAACAGGTCGGAATTGAGGGAGAAGATCGACGCAAGGATAAATCAGGTGGTTTTTTCTCGGGACTGAGATGGGGCCATCACTGAGCACAGAAGATAAGAGAAATCTGATTTTGTATGTGGACCATTTTCATTGCACATACCTTCTGCATTGTACAGACTTTGCCAAGCAATCACACAGTTTTTATTGAAGTTTGTTCTTGTTTTTTCTGGTGGTCTTCTCTTTATAGACTCAGTTTTTCTTTGTCTAAATTAGGCCCACCGGTTAGCGGTAGAGCCGTAATAGAAAGATAATGTAAACTACCTTGTGGTATTAAAATTTTCGTTTTAAAAAGAAACTGCATCTTATATAGGAGAAGAATTTTGCTAAATCTTAAACTTAAAATTACACAGCCTTTTATCAGGAAATTCTTTGACTTCCCAGATCTTTGTATTTAAAGTCTTAATGTCGGACATTCATTAGACATGTTTATCAAACACGGTCAAGCTGCGACGGATCTGCCATTGCTAGACTCGCTGAGGAGCTGCCGTGCACGGAACTTGACCTGCAACCGGACAAGCGCATGCATGCAATGGAGAGCCATACGTGCTTGTTTCCGCACACACGCCCCACGAACCAAGGCTTGCAGCTTCACCAGGCTCCTCAGTGCTCGAAATGCTTGCCTGGCCTGTCAAATTGTTTAAATCATCACAAACCTACAAATTCAACAATTATCATCCATCAACCAAAATCTGGCCATATGAAAAATAACAAGTGGGGTTACGTACAAGATGCCCCCTGAAAAACGCTTGGAGCTTGATGGCTGCAATTTCTTCGTGGGATAAAAATTTCTTTGTGTGTGATGAAGATGAAGCAGAGCCGTTGAGATCTTGGTACCTGGCTGATTCTTCATGAGTGCTTGGGCTGGTGTTGGTGTAGACGACAATGATGTCTCTGTTAGATGATCTGCCTAGCTTTCGTCGAATTGTTTTGAACCATTTCCGGTAACTTCCCATTCTTGTATACTTGTTGTCGTATGACATTTTAAAAAAGTGTGAGTTGAGATGGGGCATTCATTCTCCACTTTAAAGCAAATTGAAAACGGTGACGTAAAGGGAGGAGATGTGGGCACCATGTTCATGTTTTCCTTTCATTTCCCCAGAGAGAGAGAGAGAGAGAGAGAGAGAGAGAGAGAGAACGTGGAGGGATGAATATCTCTCTACCCACCAGCTGTGTGTGTGAGTTTGAAGCATTCTACAGTGAAAGTCTCTCAAACTGAAGTGAGTTGGCAGAACAACAACGTGCACTTTTCACTTGCGAAACGACATGTATTTCTCAAATGGTTTCATGATCAGTGGCATCAATCAACAAGTTTTGGTTGTGAACTCTAATAAGCATAAAGGAAGCATATAAGATAGTGTTTTCAACTCTGGTAAAAGTAGAGCACTTCTCTAACTTGTTTACAAAGTTTGCTGGGTGATTGATTTATTTACCAACTTTTCTTTTTCTTTGATACACATTACATTACATATGACATTTTCTTTGACCCTCTCTCTCTCTCTCTCTCTCTCTCTCTCTCTCTCTCTCTCTGTGGCAGGACACAATCAAGTTTCATTTCTCTGTTGGAAGTCCAGTCTGTGTCCAAGCAGCATATCCACCAGCTATGTCTGTAATGCCACTGAATCCCTGCAAAAATGGAAAGCCATTGAGCCCAAAACCAGTTCCATTAATAAAACATTGCATCCTTCAATATTATTTTCTGTCTCTGGTTAAGTCTTTTTTTCTGAAATAATATATGCAACACAACCTATTTGATAACGACGTTCAACCAAAATGTGATGTCCATAAGTAATTAATTACTTAACAACAAAGTTGTGCTTACAGCAGCTAGGAGATCAGTTGCAGCCATCATGGACCTTTTCCCAAGCTGGCATCCCTGTCGAGCCATGAGGTTAAAAACTTAATGGGGGCTAAAATTCATTAAAAAAGATAGTGAAAATAACTGGAACTCACAACGATAATCTCATCATGTTTTCTGAAATGTGATGCCACTTCTTTTAGAAATTCGGGGTTCTTTGACATCCCTGCATACAACAACACAATTACAAATGAATACAATCATTTAATTTTAGAAAAAAAATAATCAAGAAGAAGGTGTGAAGAACAAAAAGTGAACCTGATCCAAGTTTGTACAAGTAAGGGACGTTAACAGCCCCAGGGGCATGCCCTCTACTGAACTCATCAGGGGTCCTACACAAACACAGACAATTAACCCAAAAGCAAAAACAATCAAACAAAGAAATCAAGATTAATTAACAGAGTGATTAACTTTAATAGAGAAATTAAAATAAAAGAGAGTACCTGACATCCAAATATTTGTGTCCAGCTTGAAGAAGCTCATGCGCCACACGAACTGGCACTGAAGTTGGAACACCAACAGCCTCCAAATTCCCTTTCTGGGCAGCTCTCGGACTTTCCCAGTTGCCAAACAACACCACAGTTGGTATCGAACACAATATTTTTAACATATAAAAAAAAACAGAATTCTATAAGAAATTTTTTATTTTTATTTTTTGGTGGGTTTCTTTGTGCTTGCTACTTACCAGAAGTTGCAGTTCTTGTTTTGAATTCCAGTGCCAAGTCTCTGCAGATTCACATTGAGTGAAAAAAGAGACCTCTGATTGAGATTTTGAGGAGAAAAAAGTGAAGGGGGTTGAAATGCAGAGCCAGTAAAGCAGGAGGAGGAGGACACAAGAGAAATTGCCACCATTTTTAATATTATTGGATGGTTTTGAAGATAGCAAATTGATTATGTTTTGGTTTTGGTATCTGGGATTTGCAGATTGCAATGTGCGAGGGAGTGTTTTAGCACTCAGCAGTGAAATATGGAATATGGTTGAGGAGGTTGTGTCATTATTTATTGAATGGGTGTGGCAGCAGAGGACAGAGATGATGACTAGATGTGAGAGAGAGAGAGAGAGAGAGAGAGAGAGAGAGAGAGAATAGGGGCATGGATGCCACGCCAAGTCTGGCTGTTTCTGATTTCAGATAAACCCAACAGGAGGCACACATACTTTTGCATGGATAAGTTTCAATCTTTCAACCTTGAGTTCAAAGAATAGGCAAATGCATGTACACCTGGGTGGCTGAGGGTGCAGACAAGATTCTTTCGGTTTTTGGAATTTGATATTATATCCCATCCAATAATAAAAATCTCAATGTTTTTTGTTCTTTCAGAAACAATCACATAAATGATCTTTTTATTTTATTTTGGGTAAAAACTCTCATATGTGATACATCAACTATCTGGTTAAAAATATTTTTTTAATACTTGATTCTAAAATTAGAAATGAAAATACCATATATTAAGAGCTAGATAATAGAAAATTGTGTTTTAATATAAAAGATGAATGTAAGGGGCTTATAGCTCAAGTGGTTAGGAACATTTACCTTTGCATCCGAGATTTTAAGTTCAATTTCCCCCTCCCTAATATCACTTGTATTTAGAAATGAAAATATCATATATTAAGAGCTAGATAATAGAAAATTGTGTCTTAATATAAAAGATGAATGTAATGGGCTTATAGCTCAAGTGGTTATGAACATTTACCTTTGCATATGAGATTTTAAGTTCAATTTCCCCCTCCCTAATATCACTTGTATTTATAAAAAAAAATGTAACATGATGTAAGTCTGTGTTCTTGTTCCTCGTTGATGTGAGTAAGTTTTGCATGTGACGGTAATACCATGTTATGGGCCCTTTTCGCCGAGGTATAAAAATTTTCCTAGGATGATTTGGGCTCTCCTCCAAAAAAGACCAGTAAGTAATTTGGGTTGGGCTATAAGCAAGGCTTCAAAGACATAAGGCCCAAAATTGAGGTCACAGGAATTTAGTTCGGCCCAGCCAGCCCAGATTAATCCCCGCGAGTCACAGTTGATTTTCAGGTGGAATGTGAGAGTGGAAATGGCTACCTTGGCGTTCGCGAGCCTAACATCTCCTCCATTCTCGTCGGCGCGAAGGTCTCTGTCTATCCATGGAAGATTCGCTTTTCTCCATAAAACGCTGGGTTGGGGTCGGAGATCTCTGCTGCTTCCCATAACATGTTCTTCTTCCGAATCCGAGCCGAACCAAAACGCCGACTCCGATGCCAAAACGGCGCCGTTGGCGCCGTCGTCTTCTAGTAGCTTGACCGACAAACTATATGTAGGGCTCGGAGGCGTTGGGTTTCTAGAAACGACGTACTTGACGTATCTCAAGCTAACGAATTCCGATGCCTTTTGCCCAATCGGCGGTGGTAGCTGCGGCGACATCCTCAGCAGCGATTACGCCGTCGTTTTTGGTACTCTCTTGAACTCCATACCCAGCTGAATTCAAATATACAATCACCCAAAACAAGAAAAATTGAAACTTTCGACTGGCCTTTTGTGAATTAGAAAGAATTACATTGATTGTATGCAATGTGTTTGAAAGAAGGTTCCTTTTGGTTTTCCCAGGTGTTCCTCTTCCATTGTTTGGGATGGTTGCATATGGGTTAGTTGCTACTCTTGGTGTGCAGCTATTGACTGCAAAGAAGTTGCCTTTTGGGATTGGTGAATCTAATGCTCGCCTAGTTTTACTTGGGACTACAACTTCCATGGCAGCTGCTAGCGCTTGTTTTTTGTACATTCTTAGCACTAAATTTTCAGGAGCTTCTTGCTCGTATTGTTTGTTATCAGCTTTGCTCTCTTTCACCTTATTTTTCATCACTTTAAAGGTTAGCTAGCTTTTTTCTGTTTTTCATTTTCATTTTCTTTGATTTGATGTTGTTGGCAATGACTAGAATTTTGGTGTATTTATTATACTGTAGGATTTAGGGTTGGAAAAAGTACAGAAAGAGGTGGGCTTCCTGCTGTGTATAGCTAGCTTGGTGTTTGTGACTCTCAACAGGTCATATAGTGCTTATCCGCCTGTCTCCTCAAGGTGATTAGCCTCGCTCATGCTATTTTGTTTTTCATTTTCATGAATATGTTAGTTTGGCAAGCTATTCAATGATATGAACACATGTTTTGCTCTGAAGCTCAATCTTTTAGGATTATGGGCATGCCCTTCCAACTAACTTGACACAGGAGGAAATAAAAATGTAAACTTTATAAGAGTGGCAGTGTGATTAATAGGAAATATAGGAGATTGATAAACATAAGTGATGTAATGACTTTCATTAGTTATTAAATAAAAAAAAAATCTTGTAAAGGACGTTCTACTTCACTTTCAGAACTTTTTGAGTAAGCAATTGATTATGAACTGCCAGTTCGATGATTATTTATATGAGTTGGATTGTTGTTTTACTATGTAGTCTATTTAATTGAGACTAAAGGTGTTGGCTACTAAACTATTATATAGATGAAATTAAGATCAGTATTGTGTGTTTATTGATCTCATCAAACCTTTCCCATTGTTTGGTTGGATCTAAATCACCAAGTCAATACTTATTTGAATGATCACAAATATCATCTTGGTAGATTATGTTAGCCGGTTATTTTCTTTGTCAGTTTTCTGTGTTTATTGTGCTCATATTTTTTTCTTATTACTTATGTTGTTAACAGCCCGTCGGAAATTGATCTTCCATATTTTACAACTGAGATAACAACACCGTCAAGTCCTTTTGCTATAGCTCTTGCAAAGCATCTGAATGCTATAGGTGCTAAAATGTATGGGGCTTTCTGGTGTTCGCATTGTGTAGAACAAAAACAGGTACTTTGCCCTTTTTAACTCCTAATTATATGTGATTCAATCATGAAGTTCTTCTCGTCATCATCTCTTTCTAGGTTTTTCCTAGTTTCTTCCAATGAATAATATTCAAAAAGGCATTATCCATAAGTCTTGCTCCCGGCCAATCATTTCATACTTGATGAAAAACAGGAAAAAGATGTATCTGCTTTGTATTCTATCTTTTGATGTATCATATCTTTTGTTTTGTCCATCGTGTAGATGTTTGGACGTGAGGCAGCAAAGCTGCTGAACTATGTTGAGTGCTTCCCTGGTGGATTTAGGAAGGGAACTATAATGGAAAAGGCATGTATTGATGTTGGAATTGAAGGTTTTCCTACATGGGTGATCAACGGGCAGGTGATGAATCCCATCATAGATACTATTCAATATTTTCATCTGGCATCCCTATTTATATACATTCTCATGCAAACCTAGCAATAAGAACCTGTTGCTGTAAACTAGATTAAGATAGATATACTTGGTTCTCATAAAGCTTGGCGCTTCTTACAGGTTTTGAGTGGAGAAAAAGATTTTACAGAGCTCGCACAGGAATCTGGGTTTGAGTTGAATGAATCCAGTCCTCCCCCATAGATTAAGCCATTGTGTTTAGTATGCCATCACACGTAAAGATCATAGAAAACTTCTTGTGTTATTACATAGCCGATCATTGATCGCGACGACTGGGAGGCACCTTGGGGTGTTCATTATTTTGTACAACTCTTGCCTGTAACTGTAAGCATTTATTACATTTCACTGGAATGAAGAAACTAGTTAGATGTGTAGATTGGAAACTTATTATTGATTTACAAGATTTAACAGAGTCCCTTGTAATATGTTTACCCACCAAACTTCTTGTCTGTAATGACTTCTGTGTAAGCAAGCATGGGTCATAAGTCCCCTTTAAGATGAACAATAAAGTCGCAACCGAAAGACAATCTTGAGCATTCATACAGAACTGGACAAAGGGATTCGGTGTGGACTCTGCCAAAGTCTTGAGCTAACTTTAACTTATATTATCATCAACCAATATAAATGGAATAGAATAATTCCTATTGGATGAGATGATGAGATCATGCTCACTGTGGAAGTTAGCTGCCGTAAGATTATTGTTGAGTTTTCTTTAAATTATTATTTTTGTCTACTTGGAGCTTATATTAGCATAAAAAAGTTGCATTGTTTTACTACGTAAGCATTTAACCTATTTACTAACGGTCTGATTAATGGATAGGATAATTTGTGGAATTGAGTTCCTTTTCTTTTTTATTTGGTTAAAAAATTTGTTTGAAGTTGCGTATACGTTTTTTCAATAGGAGCCATAGTCTAAAGTATATCAAATACATATCATTTAAAACTTTCATGTTAGAGTTGAATATTTCGAACTGAATTATATCTAATTTATTTTAGAGAGGATCGATTATTAAAGTGTATAATAGAGGAGGGAGGTCAAACAATTGAGAGGGGGGGGAGGGGCGGGGGGTGTTCATACAGACACTGCTAAGGTGTTATAAAATTCGAACATTAACCTGAGATAACTAGTCTGCAAATCAAAGGTTTTTTTTTCAATAAACTATACTCCGTTGGGAAAATATGGGCTTTTATATCCTCTTTCATCTTTCTTTGATTGGCTTCATTTACTTGAACTATCCATAAATCATTCATGCCACCATAAGCAGTCAGCAATCCAAACCGCTATCCGACGCGGACACACCGGGCCCCACTTGGCCCGCTCAAAAGTGAAGATGCCTTGGAATATTCCCTCGCCCCTCGAATTCCTGATCCAGTCACGAAAATAATTACGCTTGTCCTCGCCTCCATTCCTCCTCATCAATCAACCCTCTCTCGCCTCGGACGCCCATCAAATTCCACTACCCCTTCTATAAATTCCCTCACTCTCTCCATCCAAACAAACCACAACACCCCAAAAAAAAATGCCTACTCAAATATCCGAATCCGAACAACAGCAACTCATCGAAAAGCTCGACATCTTCAGAATCAAAGGCAGAGACAAGCGCGGCCGCTCTATCCTTCGCATCATCGCCAAATTCTTCCCAGGTATATATATATATATATATATATATGTGTATTCATCTTTTTATTTATTTTATTTTATCGTCGAAGTTTCGTGATTTTTATTTTATTTTTCATTTTGATGATTTAATTAGCGAGGATTGTGAGCGTGGATGCTCTGCGCAAATATTTGGAGGAGAAAATATTTCCAGCATTAGAGAAGAAGCCGTTCGCGGTGTTGTACGTGCACACCGGAGTTCAAAGGTGCGAGAACTTCCCCGGAATCTCCGCCGTCCGATCAATCTACGATGCGATCCCGATCAACGTCAAGCGCAATCTCGAAGCTGTGTATTTCCTCCACCCTGGCCTGCAAGCCCGCCTCTTCTTAGCCACGTTCGGCCGCTTCCTTTTCACCGGAGGGTAATATTAATTAATTAATTATTAATTCTTTTGGATAAGCGCATTTTAGCATCTGTTTAGTTTCCTGGGCTAACGTGCGCGAGGGCTGCAGGGTGTATGGGAAGCTGAAGTACGTGAGCAGGCTCGATTATCTGTGGGAGCACGTGCGGAGGAGCGAGATTGAGGTGCCTGAGTTCGTGTACGATCATGATGAGGACTTGGAGGACCGTCCGATGATGGACTACGGATTGGAGAGCGATCATCCGAGGGTGTACGATGCGCCCGCGGTTGATTCGCCTGTGTCTATGTACTCCATGAGATGCATCTCATAGTCAACAATTAATTAGGGTTAGAAATTACATCGGATGTTTCCATTGGGCCTTCCAGTTAGAGCAGTCAGCCAATGGTTTAGTTGCGTCTTTGTTCTCTGTTACGATTTCATTTGATAAATACTTTTGTATAAATCCAAAATTCAAAATTTCAGTGTTCCTTAATAGAGGACTTATCTTCTCACTTATAATAATTACTCGTAATGAAAGAGATAGACATAAATATTAAGCTAATCGCATCCTTTGATCAGATCTAAGCCCGGCCCTGAGGGGAGTCCCGTGAGGCGCCTAAGCCCGACCTCCAATAAAAAAAATAAAAAAAAGGCCTAAAAGGTATCATTGGATCCTTATGTTTTTATGCATGCTTTGATTAAATTGGAGTGATTTACCCCAACTCCATCGGCACAATTCTAACTTTTTTCTTTTGTTCTGCTCAATGTGTCATTTCTAAGGTTATTGGGCTAGGCAAACTCCTCAAGAAGAGAAGGCTTGCCTTGACAGGTAAAGAAGACTACCTCTTATTAACATGACTTCACTTCTGCTATAAATGAAGTGGAAACCTTCCCTGCCCATCACTGACTGCATATTGCCTTCTATAAACTCATGCCTAATTCAGAGGAAATAAAATAAAATTATAAAACGTATTTAGCGACGATGCGAACACATCAGGTTTAGAGATTATATGTGATATTTCATAGGATCAACCACAAGGCAACCAAGTTACAACCAGATACCATAACTTTAACTAAGATGTACATAACTCAGTGCCTATAGGCCAAGTGTGGTTTGTTTTTTTTCTTTTAGGCGTAAGCCAAGTGAGGGTGGCAAAAAGATGTTAACAGGAGCCTGGATTATATGGTAGTGGCAAGAAACTACCATCTTCTAAGTTGAACACACCAATCTTAAATTTTCTTCCGAATGAATAATTACTGTAACATTTGGTAAAGTAAGGATCAGAGAAATAAATGCAGCTCCTTTGACATCCAGGAAAATCCCCAGCAGGAACAGAGAAGCTGCCAAATAGAATGCAAAACTTGTAGAGATTTTCTGGTTTCAGTTTTTCATATTGACATTGATTGAACCACTTACAATAATATATGTACAAAGAGAGTTGGCTTCCTCTCCAAGCCCCTAAACAGAAACAAACAGCTGGAACAAACAGCTAGTCTTGTCTTCCTCTCCAAGCCTTGGGACTCCTGAAGTCAATCCCCCAATTTAGGGAATTAAGGCTACCAACCTTATCCTACCAACTAGCTCATTAAAGTACTAACAAACAAACCAACTAACTAAAAGAAGCAATAGTTATTAGCACCCACACGCAATATCCTACCATCCAAACCTTCCATCTCAACCCATTTCCTCTCAACTGCATTCAACTTGTAAACCCTGAATTTAACCGGAAATAAGTATCTCCGGTGTCTTTCCACTAGAAGTATCTCCCCCAGTGACTCCACTAAATTCTTGACGCAATGGACGCTGCTGCCATGATCAGGACTTATCGGAGATGCAATCAGTGTCATCTCCAAGGAAGGATCAACCACCACAGCTGTGCCATTGTGGCAAACAGCATAGAACTTTCCCTCAAAACAAATAACATCTTCAAAAACCTCAGAGGTATCGACCATGGTGCACATTTCAATGTCAGGGCCTAATTTGCAGTGGTATAATTTTCCAGCAGCAACAACCATGATTGCAGGCCAATCAGGGCTCAGTGATATGGCCACTCTGTAACTACTAACACTATGGTCAGAGTGGTACATGGTGTAAGTTTTTGCCAATTCAAATACTCGAAATTCCAACAAGTTTAGTCGCTTTGGAAACACCGACTTGGGCAAACGCTTTAGGTGGAAAGAGGAGGAGAGTGGATGTAACATGCTAGGTTCACCTGATTCTCCTTCCCTGAGCCTAACCACCCAACCCCTTGTACTCGAAGTCGAAGCAGAATCATCTGAGTTTATGTTGGGAGGAGGTACTAGATGGTAGACTGTGTCCTCGGTTATGGTCAAGAAAAAGCAGTTAAACAGGAAAAGGAAACTTCATCATAATTCTGATGGGAAAACGGGGTTGTTTCTGATCAAAGGGAGGAACAGATGATCGCCATGACCTACAGATGGCACGAAATCGTGAGACATCGGTTTTAGTTTTGAGGCGCTTTCCTACGGCCTCTAATAAGTCGGTTGGAAGATTGTTCCATGGGACGACTCTATCAGCCATTTACACGACTTTGAGAAGTTGCTGCTCTATAAATATAATCAGAACAAAACAAGGCATTAAGATGTGTTTCAGAGCACTTGGGTTGTGTCGATCCTCGCCTTAGAAAGCAATGTGTGGCCGGCCTAATCTGATATACACAAGAAAGAAACATTGGTTTCTTCTTGTATTTATAAAGTATTCAAGAGGACTGGCTTTTATAAAATATTGACCCAACATATAATTAGTCTGCTTTTTTTTGAAGGACCTAAGCCAGGTCGAGGTTGACAAAAGATTTTGATTAAACAAGGTTCTCTTGAAGATTCTATAAAAACAAAAACAAAAAATGTTTGTCTTTTTAAGATTCTGTAGTACTAGCTCTGCTCCAAACTTTATATATATTACTCCGTTTTAATTTTCTCCCTCTCCACAAGCAATGGCCAGTGAAAGAGTAGTCCAATGGAACAATCTTCCGAGTGAATTACTAGAGGCCATCGGGAAATCGCCTCGACACCATAATCGACGTTTCTCTTGCAATCTGTCAGTCATGGCTGTCATCTATTCCTCCCTTTGTTCATCAGAAACAGCCCCATTTTCCTATCGAAGTTTACATGGACTTTCGGTTTAGTCTATATCACGTCAACGCTAGGGTTAGTGGCTTTAGAGTGGCCATATCTATGAACCCTTTTTGTCCTGCCCTCATGGTAGTTGCTGCTGGAAAATTATACCATTGCAAATTATTACCGTACTAGAGGATATAAGAACCTCTCAGTTCTATTATAGAGATGCTAGCTGTTGCTGAGGAGCGTACAATTGTAGTGGTTGATTCGTCTTTGGTGATGACAACGATTGCACCTCCGGTAAGTCCTCCTGGTGGTGGCAGTGAGGTTGGTCGCCCTAAGAACTTGGTGGAATCATTGGGGAAGACACTTTTAATTGATAGATGTCCAAAGTACAATGAAGCAAGGCCGTTATATTTCTTTCGGGTTCAAGGTTTACAAGCTGAAAGCAGTTGATGGGAAGCAATGGGTTAAGATTTGGATGGTCAGATATTGTTTCTCGGAGATAATTGTTACTCCTCAGTTTCTGCTCAAGATTAATTAGTAAGTTAATACGGTATTTCTAAACTTAAACAGAATGATGACAGCAAGTAATCCTTGTTTAATGTAGATGAGCCACACTGTGATGTCATGGGGGTTCTAATGCATGTTATGCTCTTTATGGGTTGGCTCGAAAAAATGAAAAATAAAAACCCTTTGGGCCGTTTAGTTTGTATTTTGGGCTCTGACGGGCCCTTTTGTTTCGGCGAAAATGGTCCATCACTCACTTCCCCGAGTTCATAAAAATGCAAAAAGAGAAGGGTCTATCAGCTCATCCCACTCTCTCACTCACAGTTTCATCTCTGCAAATCCAAACCCAGCGCAACATCTTCAGACTGAAAGGTAGAACAAGTTTTCAAATTTTTGGGCACAGCGTGTCGTATATACGGTTCTAAAGTTTCAATTTTTTTCCCTTTTCATGAAGTTTGATGTCGTTTCAGCGCTCCCTGGTTTCAGTTTTCATTGATGCTTTTTGGGTGAATAAATGTCTCAAAACTTGCATTTGAATGATGGGTTTCATCTATTTCTAGCTTTAAATAGCAACCGTTTGCATAGGAATTGGGCTTACCTTGTAGTTGTTCTTTCAGAGAATATTGGCTCTTTTTGAATGATGGGTTTATCTATTTATTTTGGAGAAATCGCATGCCTTGTTTGTATATAAATTATATTGATAATTAGTTTGCATTTTCTTAAATCTGAGAGGTTTGCTCAAGCTGCACCAGCACAATTAAAACTTTTTTTTTTTTTGGGCTCAATATATGCCATTTTTTGTTGTTGAGCTTATTGATGTTTATGGCAGGCATGGTTTTCTTGAGCTGGGTTAGGCCAAGTCCTGAAGAACAAAAGGCTTGCATTGGCAGGTAAAAAAGACTGCTCTTAACTTGATATGATTTCATTTGTGTTATCAAGGAATTTGAAACATTGTGTGAACTCATCATGCCTGCTGCTTATAACCAGGTCAGGTAGCTTTAACTATGAGGCTAAATTCAGGGGAGCTACTGCTAAGTCCCTGTCTTCCCTCCAAGAAGACAAGGGGCTCTCAAACAATGGTTTCTTGTTCAACCATGCGCGCGTTTTGGTTGGTTCTGGTGTTGACACTTATGAAAAGGGCAAGAGAGCTCTTCAGGACTGGAGGTCAGCCCATGTTTAATTCTCTACATGTAAAGAAATCTCAGTTGAGAAGGACAACTTAATCTTATGGCTGGTTGTGTGTGGTTTGGCAGACATTTTGGACTGAATTGGGCATTTGTTGATCCAAAGACGCCGGTTCAAAATGGAGTTAAGTTCTGTGTTTGCGTCAAGGAGTTTCTGCCATGGGTCATGATGCCTCTTCAGGTTGTTTATGTAAATGAAAATAGACCTAGTAAACAGTCCATGGCCTCTTTTCGTTTCGGAGGTGGTACCCTTCAAGGCCACTTGCTGGTTAGTTTTTGTTCACTTAGTTGAATTATATTTGTGTGTTTTTGGTTTCAAATGAAATATATGAATCCTCTGATTTGTGGTCTGCAAATTTTGTGCAAAACAGGCTGGGGAAGAACGATTCTCAATCGAACTGGATGAGAACAACCAAGTGTGGTACGAAATACTTTCCTTCTCAAAACCAGCTCACCCTTTGTCATTTATTGGATACCCATACGTAATGCTTAGGCAAAAGTACTTTGCTCATCAGTCTTCTAATGCAATTATGAAACATTTGAATGCTTTGAAATCCTAGTGCATGTATATATGCTAGTGGAATTCTGCTTATATAAAAGCTTCATTGCCCTTTCTTATCTTCTTTATAAGTTTTACTGTTCTGAACAAGTCATAACTAGCAGCAAAAAACTACGCTATAATATTTGTTTGAAGCAACCACATTAAAATGAGAGTACATGTTAAAATAAAATATCAAAATCTGCAGTAGGTTATGCCTAAACTCACAATCTCCATCCAGCTCCGCATATAGATCAGGCCTTTGGCCATGTTGGGGATGGGCAAAAGATAATAGCAGAGGCTGGATATGTTAGCAGGACGACGCAGCGACCATCGAAGTTGCTCTATCTACCTTTACATGTGGCCTATTACATGAAGAGAGATAGGGAGAAGGAGGCACTGCAAGGTTGACAACTAAATTTCTCTCTCCTTAAAGCTCATAATCGGCGTCCAGCTTTGCATCGATCAAGCTTGGGGAAGTTGGAGATTGTGATACTTCAGTCAAGCACTGAAAGATCCAAAAAAACTACCTATAGTAAACCACATTACATGAAACAATAAATTTTCAAAAAAGAAAAAAAAAAAGAAAAGAAATTACAGTAGTGTGTCAAAACTCACATGACCATCCAACTTAGCACCGATCTAGCCGCCAAGATCCAAGTCTAATTTTCTTTTTCTTTAATTTTCTTGAAAACCAAGTCCAAACCCAAACCCAACGCCAAATCTTCTTCCTTTTCTTTTCCTTGCTTGACAACCAAGTCCAAGTTGGGGGTGGGCAGAAGATATTGTCACAGCTTGGATAATATGTTAGGGGCAAGTGACTGCCAAAATCTAATCGGAAAACTCCCATCTCACTAAACATTCCTCCAAACTCACCCTCCATATTATTCTTCATGTAAAAGAAATTAGAGAAATAAATGCTATTTCCCTTACATCCTGGAAAATCTCTAGCAGAAACAGAGAAGCAGCTGTCATCCCCCACGAGCAATATTCGATCGCTCAAAGCATCCCTCTCATCAACCTCAATCCATTGATTTTCAGCTGTGTTCAACTTAAAAACCTTGAATTTAAGCTCAATGTCGAGCCACTTGTCTAAATAACTATCTTCTCCCATTGTACTCGGATACCTATCGACTAAGAGCAACTCCCCCAACGACTCCACCAAACTCTTCTTGTGATCACCACCCAAACAAGCTAATATTGGTGGCGCAACTACTTTCACATTCAGACAAGAATCAACCACTACAGCTTGTCCGTCCCGGCAGACAGCGTAGAACTTCCCTTCGTAAAAAATAACATCTTCATAATCATAATGTTGATCATGATCCAACTGAGAGACCTCAATGCAGTTGTTAACGTCGACATCTAATTCACCGCGGTATAATACTCCATCGACAATTATCATGACCGCAGGGAAACCGAGATTCATGGACAAGGCCACCTTATTATTACGGTCCCACCAACCCCCATCATGTATGCTGTAAACTCTTGCATATTCAAAAACCCTAAATTCCAATAGGTTAAATACCTTTGGGAATGTGTGGGGCAGTCTCCCAACAACAAACTGGGAGAGTGGATGCAACATACGAGTTTCACCATATTTTCCTTCTTCAACCTTAACCAACCAACCTCTTTTAAGAGGATCATCTCTAGGAGGCGCAAGATGAAAGACAATGCTCTCGGTTAGGGTAAAGGTGGTGTTGCTGCCATTGGTGTTTCGAATGAGAACTTTGATGGGAAATTGAAGCTGCTTTTCGAAGCGAGGGATGGAGGACCGCAATGACTTGCACACCGCACGAAATCGAGAAACATCTGTTCTAGTGTTTAGGCACTTTCCTATGCTCTCTAACAATTCACCTGGGATTCTACTCGCCATCCAGGATGATTTTCTTGGTGATTGAAGCTCATTTGAGACTAAAGTGAAAACTAAATACAGAGGGAAGCAAGGTCTTGAGCAGAACATCAGCTTTCATATTTGAATAATAATCTCAAGAGAATTGGAGAGCTTGGTCCCGAATTATAGGGGTTGATAGATAGAGTCCCACTTGTTTTGGTATTATAGTTATGGGAAGGGAAAAAAAAACAGAATTAATGCGTACAATAAATAGTTGTTTTGGTGGCATTATGGTTAGTCAAAACAATATTCTAATTGGTTACGATTTTGGTAACAAATATTGTTGAGGATTTGTATGTTACTTTAAGCAATTGGTAAATGCATTTTTACCACACAATTCCTCAACTACCCTTTTTCCATAATCTCCATCCGAATCATAACCGCCATCCGACTCATCCTGGCCGTCCAACTCATACTGGCCGTCCAGCTCATAATCCCCATACAACTTATAGCAAGGCCTAGTCCAAGTTGGGGGAGAGCAAAAGATTTTAAGAGAATTTGGATCATCAAAATCGAAGTTGAACTCTCCAATCTGGTTAAAGGGTCTTCCTAACGCATTGTACCTATAATGCTGTTCCCCAAGAACCTTGGAAAATCTCTAGCAGAAACACTTCTCAACGGCATTCAACTTGAAAACCTTGAATTTGAGCTTACTTGTGCTGCAAGACTTGAAGGGCGGACATCCATCAACTAACAGCAGCTCCCCGGATGACTCCACCAAATTCTTCCTGCGATAGCCGGCAGAACAAGCTACCGCAGACGCAATTGCTGTCGCATTCAGACAAGAATCAACTGCGAAAGCTTTTCCGTCCTGGCAGACAACATAGAAGTTTCCTTTGTGGAAAAGAACATCTTCATAATCATTGCGGTCGGGATCCAATGGAGAAACTTTGATGCACTTTTTATTGTCAACACCTGATCTTCCATAGTGCAATCTTCGATGGCCAATGACTAAGACATTGACCGCGGGGGAATCAGCTGAGAATTGGAAAGTTTGGCTGTAGAATTAATGACTATTGAGTTATGTATTGCCTACATAATACATACATAAACCCTGTTTTTGTAAAAATCTCATATTGTAATTGGTTGAAGATCTGTTGGGTTTCTTATGATCTGCTGCAAACCTGGCATATAATTTGAGGGATAGAAAATAAATAATTTTAAGCTGCACATTTCAAACACAATGGTTCTTATTTGATATAAAGTGATACAATTGTCAATTGCAGGAAAGTTGGAGAAAAAAGAACGAAGTACTTGTAACAAAAAATTTGAAATTTTAAACTTAACATGGATCAACAGCCCAACTCATGCACAAGTTCAAGTCCTTTTCTTTTGTTTCTTTCTTTTCCTGCTTCCAAATTCATGTCCAAATCCAAGTCTTCTTGTTTCCTTTTCCTTTGTTGTCGGCTTGGCAACCAAGTCCAAGTTGGGGGTGGGCAAAAGATGTTGTGAAAATTTGGAATATCTGTTAGCGGTAAGCAAGTGCCAGAATCTAAGCAGAACACTCCAATTTGTTTCAACATGCTTCCTCTTCCTAACAAGCTTGTGCGATTATAATGATCATAGAAATAAATGCAGCTCCCCCTGCACCCTGGGAAATCTCCAGTAGAAACAGACAAGCAGCGGTTGCGCCCCACCACCAATATTCGATCACGCAAAGCTTCCGCCTCAGCCTCAACCCATTGCTTCTCTTCTGCATCCAACTTGAAAACCTTGAATTTAATAAGGTCAGTAGTCATGGCAGCTGCTAGCGCTTCTAAGAAATCAGAATCTTCTGATGAAGAATCAAAAGCTTCTGATGAAGAATCAGAATCTTCCGATGATGAACCAGAAGAAGGGGATTGTTCTGTATCCCAATATCTATGAACCAAAAGCAACTCCCCGGATGACTCCACTAAATACTTCTCGGAATTAAGGCTAAAAACACCTTCTATTTGAGACGCGATCACCGTCACATCAAGAGAAGAATCAACCACTACGGCTGTTCCATTCCGGCAGACAGCATAGAACTTTCCTTGATAAAAAATAACATCTTCATAAAACGAGTGTTCACCACCCAACCGAGAGACTTTGATGCACTTTTTACTGTCAACGCCTAATTTTCCATACCATAATCTTCTCATTCTCACCATCATGACCGAAGGGAAATCGAGATTTAAGGACATGGCCACCCTATTACCAAACCATCGATCCCGTAAACGTAGGCCATATACTTTGGCCACCTCAAATACCCGATATTCCAAGGGAGACTTTGGAAAAACACAAAGGAGAGAGAAATTTTGTAAAAGAAGCCAAAATGGACAAAATTGCCCTTATTTATTTTTGGATTTCCTAAGAAATCCTTTACATTTGCATGTCTTTGATTTGAAAGTTGAAAGGTTTTTCTGTATTTTTTGAAAAAGCTTTGACTTTTTCCAAAAGTGAAAATTTTATTTTGGCTAAAACCTAAATTTACTATATTCCAATAAGTTGATTAACTTTGGATTTGAGTCGGGCAACTTTCTTATGATAAATTGGGAGAGTGGATGCAGCATATGATGAGTTTCACCCCATTCTCCTTCTCTGACATAAATCAACCAACCCCTTTCGCAGGGATCGCCGGCGGGAGGTGCAAGATGATAGAGTACGCTTTCGGTGAGGGTGAAGCTGGTTCTCTTAGCAACAACTTGGATGGGGAATTGCAGAGGAAGCTGTTTTGCAAAGGGAGGAAGAGAGGATCGCCATGACTTACAGACCGCACGAAATCGAGAAACACCAGTTTTTGTGTTGAGACGCTTACCAATTCTCTCTAATATATCATCTGGTATATTGCTCGCCATCCCTAATAATTATGGTGGTGATCCGCCTTGTTTATAGTTTGTTAAGTTCAACAATAATATATAGGATGCTCAAGGTTATTTAATGCGCTGGTGAAGCAAAAAAAAAGCCCTATGAGAATTGGGATTCTTGAATGGCTGATTTCTTGCGCAACAAGCAAGTCAAGGGCACCAGTTAGCTGTCCTTTCTACTTTTGTGTCATTGAGAAAAATTAGCTTTTATATCTCAAAACGTGTAAAAAAAGGAATAGGCTAATGTTTTGATTCAACCAGAATACTTTCTCATTACAACGTCAATGATATTTATACAGTGGTGATCCTAGAATTAAGGAACTCATCAAGGAGCAAATACAAGAAGTCAGCTGTACTACTAAGGCAACAAATATACAGAATCAATTGTAAATCAATCAACCTAAACTATAGGGATTTCTGTGATATCTCAACACTCCCCCTCAAGTTGGAGAGTGGATGTCAAGAACTCCCAACTTGCACAGCATTGTTGAAAATCCTTCTTTTCCTAAAGGCTTTGTCAGGATGTCCGCCACCTGTTGTGAGGAAGAAACATGTTTTGTAACTTTTGAACCATCTTGGATCTTGTCTCTGATGAAATGGCAATCCATCTCAATATGCCTTGTTCTTTCGTGAAAAACCAGATTAGCAGCTATATGTAATGCAGCTTGGTTGTCGCAAGGTAGTGTGATTGGTTTTGAATGTGTTAGTTGCAAGTCTTGTAATAGACACCGCAACCAAGAGAGCTCACAACATGTGCTAGCCATGGCTCTATATTCAGCTTCCGCTGAAGAGAGAGACACAGTCTTCTGTCTCTTTGTCCTCTAAGAGATCAACGAGTTTCCTATAAACACACAATAACCTGTGGTCGACCTGCGAGTCGTCGGACACCCCGCCCAATCAGAATCACAAAATGCCTTCAACTTTAAGTCATCCTGTGTTGGAAAGAGTATTCCTTGGCCTGGAGTGTATTTAAGGTATCTCAAGATTCGAACCGCTGTATCCGTATGTGGGATGCGTGGCTCATGCATAAACCTGCTGAGCACATGTACAACATATGTGATATCGGGCCGTGTGATCGTCAACTAGATTAAACGTCCCACGAGCCTTCTATACCATATTATCCTCATTTAATTAATAATTTCATTTACCATATTATCCTCATTTTATCCTTATTTGATTTGTTTTTAATTTTAATTTTTTTTAACATGAAAAAAAATGTGAATTTACCATATTATCCTCATTTAATTAATAATTTCATTTCTTAATGTTTGAATTAACCAAGGGCATTTTCTAGTATTTTGAATGTTTCACCATTCTCTGCATTTTGCTTTTATATATACTAGCCCCTTGGCATGCCAATTGGTTTTTTTTTTTTTTTTTTTTTTTTTTTTTTTTTTTTAATTTTTATTTTATTATTAAGAAAAGATAATATGGGTAGTTCTATTCCATAAAAGTATGACATATTATCTGATTTTGTTTTTAATTTTTTTAATATGAAAAAATGTGAATTTACCATATTATCATCATTCAATTAATAATTTCAATTCTTAATATTTGAATTAACCAAGGGCATTTTCTGGTATTTTGAATGTTTCACCATTCTCTATATTTTGCTTTATATATATAGATGTAATAATAATTAAATTTATTAAAAAATAAAAAATAAAAAAAAGGGAATAACTTGGTATCAATCAAGAGGCCAACTTCATGTCCTTTTGTTTTGTTTTATCTGTTAATTTTCCTTTTTTGGCTTTGGCTTCCAACTTCAGTCTAAGCAGAACACTCGAGTTTTGCTCAACACACTATTCCTCTTTCTACCGCCTTCTATCCTGATCATAGAAATAAATGCTACCCCCCCTGCCGCACCCTGGGAAATCGCCAGTAGAAACGGAGTAGCTGCCCTCCTCCCCCAGCACCAATATTCGATCACGCAACGCTTCTGCCTCAACCTCAACCCATTGTTTCTCAGCTGCATTCAACTTATAAACCTTGAACTTACGACTCGTGACTAGCTCGTATGTATCACCTACAGAAGAACTAGAAGAAGAAGAATAAGAATCTTCGTCATGAGCTGGGTCGACAATTTCAGCTGGTGTCGGCGAATGCGGCAGCGCCTCGTAAGAAGAATCTTCATCATGAGCCGGCTTGGCAAGTTCAGCCGGTGCTGGCACTTGCGGCAGTGCAAGAACCAATTCACCAAGTATGCGTGAGTCTTGATAGTTAGCTCCACTCGAAAAACCACCTTCATGGGCAACCTCAGCAAGTGCTGGCGCCAGCAGGAGCTCCTGGTAAAAAGAATCAGACTCTTCATCAGAAAAACCATAAGAAGAATAAGAATCTTCGTCATGAGCGGGGTGGACAACTTCAGCCGGTGCTTGCGGCAGCGCTTTGTTAGAAGAATCTTCATCAGAAAAACTAGCACGATAAAAAATAAATGGCTTTGTATCTTCATGAACCAACAGCAACTCGCCGGATGACTCCACCAAATGTTTGAAGTTGAGGTCATTTTTTATTGGAGACGCGATCACTGTCACGTTAAGAGAAGAATCAACCTCTACGGCTGTTCCATTCCGGCAGACAGCACAGAACTTTCCTTGATAAAAGATAACATCTTGATAAAAAAAATTCGTGTTGGGATCTTGATAAATATTCGGGTGTTGACGAGGCAACGGAAAGGCTTGGATGCACTTTTTACTGTCAACGCCTAATTTTCCATAGAATAATGTTCCCTCCATGCGCATCACCATCATGACCACAGGGAATTCGAGATTTAAGGACAGGGCCGCCTTACCCGATATTCTTTGGCCACTTAAACGCAGGCCATATAGTTTGGCCACCTCAAATACCCGATATTCCAATAAGTTGAGTAACTTTGGATATGAGAAGGGAAACTGCGAAACGGTAGACTGGGAGAGTGTATACAACATCTGATGAGTTTCTCCCGATTCTCCTTCTTTGACACAATTCAACCAACCCCTTCGCGGATTACCAGCGGCGGGAGGTGCAAGATGATATACTACGCTCTCTGTGAAGGTGCAGTCAAGGGAGTACCCATTAGTAGTGAAGACTTGGATGGGGAATTGCAAAGGTAACGGTTTTGCAAAAAGAGGAAGAGAGGATCGCCATGACTTACACACAGCACGAAATCGAGAAACGTCGGTCTTTGTGTTGAGGCGCTTTCCGATGCTCTCCCATAATTCATCTGGCAATCTGCTCGCCATCCCTAATACTTCTGTAGTTGTACGTTGTTTTATGTTTAAGGTTAAGACTATATATAGGGCAGAGGGGTTTCTCCTTTAATGTCCTGGTGAAGCACAAAGAGTCCTATCAGAATTGGGATTATTCTTGAATGATTGATGTCTTGCGCAGCAAGCAAGTCATTGAGAACAACATGTATCTCAAAGAAAATCTTATGAGAATCGGTAAGTTTTCACTTGAAACTTGTCTATCCGCAACTTCCATATTTGATTGGAGAAAAGTGGGAGGAAAAAGGAAGAAAGACACATTCCCATAGAGAGAGAGAGAGAGAGAGAGAGAGAGAGAGAGAGAGAGAGAGAGAGAGAGAGAGAGAGAGAGAGAGAGATACCTTGAAAATCACCAAATTTTCGGAACCTATGTAGAGAATATTTTCTCTTGTATTAAACAATTGTAAAAGTCTACTTATGGTAGGAAAGATTATGGACTTAAATACAATTCATGTACAACAAAGAGAAGATTGACTTTCGTGTGTGTGGTATTAGGAAAGGCACGTTAACAAGCAATAAGAAGAAAATAACCAATTTGTCCTCATATTTAACGGTAAATTAGATGAAATGTTGAGATACGGTAGGGGGGAATTGGCGATAAAAATTAGTTCGCGTACTTAATTTTCCAAAAAAAAAAAGTTGAGGGTGCAAATTGAAGGTAACGTACAAGTTTATGGGGTAAATTGACAATTAACCCTTAAATAAATCAAATTCTAGGATTAGAAATATAATTCTTTAGTAAATAGTAACATAAAAAATGGGTGGTGATTTTCCCACTCCCCTTTTATCCACCTACACTCCATTTTGTTTTTTAATACTTTTTACTATAAGATAAATGTTAGAATTGAAGGGGAAACAAAGTGATTTTATTAGATTGGAGGAGAATTGTGGTGGCTAATTGGCCTTCTACACTTAGCATATTGGCTTATTGGCCACAACACTTGGTTTAGATTAGTTTGGACTATTTGGCCCTTCACTTAGATTAGTTTGGGCTATTTGGCCCTTCACTTAGATTGGTGAGCTTATTGGCTCCACAACATAGCTTTACTTGGGTAGCTCTTTGGCTCCCTTAGTTTGGGAGTTCTTTTGTTTCACTCCCCATATGACTTGGTTTGGGTAGCTTTTGTGCTCCCACATAGATTGGGAGTTGATTGGTTCACTCCACTTGGCTTTATTGCATTGCATGCCTATTTATAGGCATGCTTTGCCGACTATCTAAGTTGGCTTTTGCTTAGTTAGGTCAGTTTGCACAGTAACCGACTTTGTCTAAGTAATTTCAGTCATATATTGTAGTTTTCTACTAGAGCTTTCTACTAGCTTCATTAACTAGTGTTTAGGGAATACAATCACTGACTTTTCATTCTATAGTATTCTAGAAAATTCTGTTGTCTTGTAGAAATCTCTCTCAAATATGCATTAATGTTTAACAATAAAAAGGAGTGTAAGTGAACAAAAGAGGAGTAAGAACATACAATTTAAAAAAAAAAAAGAATGTAAAGTGGATAAAAGGGGAGTGGGAAAATCAGTACCCAAAATTAATTATGAGAGAAAGAGATGAGATGAGATGAGATTTGAAAAATGGAGAGAAGATAGTCCTAGATAAGAAAGGAAAAAATAGAGAAAGAGAGCTGCATATTTAAAGAATTTTTTTGTTTTGAAGAGGTAGAGTTATTACATGGTCCTATGAGAATTGGAAAGTTGGCTTGAAACTTTTGTATCAACAACTTCCATATTTGATGGGAGAAAACTGAGAGAAGAAAAGAAGAAAGACTTGTACAAAAATCAATACGCACCATAGTGAAGCAAATGATGAGGGTATATAATATTGACTCATAAAAATATAGCTTTTGCCAATGTGCTACAATCTCTGCTCTGGTTATCTAAGCTCTGTGAAGACACCTGTATGTGATAGAAAAACAAAAACTAATCAGAAATCGCTCTAGGCATGTCCACAAACAAACATGAACTAAGCAAAATCTTCAGAAAAGATATCGAAGCTGAAGCACGTTAACCTGTTCTGCACTTACGAGTGTTATCGAACTAAACCATAGATAGACCAAGGAGCATCTGCTACCGCTAGACTGCTGGTGATGCAGCAGTACCATCCACCATTGTGGATCAATAATGATCTTAGTTCGACTGATTTCCAGAAACACTCTATGATCCGGGAATTGGCGCAATAAGCCCATCGAAACATATCAAAACAAAAATTAAAGAGGGGAAATTCGAAGAACAATCATACAACAGATTAAATTATCATATTACGAATAGCTCAAAATTTACAATCGCCATCCAAACTTAGCATCGATCAACAGACCAACTTCACGTACTTTTGTTTGCTTTCTCTTCATGTCCAAGTCCAAGTCCAAGTTTTGTTGTTTACTTTTCCTTTGTTGTTGGCTTGGCAAGTTGGAAACCAAGTCCAAGTTGGCGGTGGGCAAAAGATGTTTTGAAAACTTGGATAATCTGTTAGCGGCAACCAAGTGCCAGAATCTAAGCAGAACACTGCGGTTTGGCTCAACATGCTTCCTCTTCCTAACGCAATTGTACGATTTTCTAGATTGTAGAAATAAATGCAGCCCCCCCTGCACCCTGGGAAATCTCCAGTAGAAACAGAGAAGCAGTGGTCGCTCCCCACCCCCAATATTCGATCACGCAAAGCTTCCGCCTCAACCTCAACCCATTGTTTCTCATCTGCATTCAGTTTATAAACCTTTACAGAAGAACCAGAAGAAGAATCAGAATCCTCGTCATGAGCTGGGTGGACAACTTCAGCTGGCGCTGGCGCTTGCGGCAGCCCCTCGTAAGAAGAATCTTCATCGTGAGCCGGCTTGGCAAGTTCAGCCGGTGCTGGCACTTGCGGCAGTGCAAGAACCAATTCACCAAGTACGAGTGAGTCTCGATAGTTAGCTCCACTCGAAAACCCACCCTCGTGGGTAACTTCAGCAGGTGCTGGCGCCAGCGAGAGCTCCTGGTAAGAAGAATCAGACTCTTCATCAGAAGAATCAGAATCTTCACCGGAAGAGTTACAAGAAGAATAAGAATCTTCACCAGATAAACGAACCAAAAGAACCTCCCCGGATGACTCCACCAGATAATTGAGGGTAAAACGACCTTTTATTGGAGACGCGATCATCATCATGTCAAGAGAAGAATCAACCTCTACGGCTGTTCCATTATAGCAGACAGCACAAAACTTTCCTTGATAAAAGATAACATCTTCATAAATGGAACGTTCACGAGTCAACGGAGAGACTTGGATGCACTTTTTTCTGTCAACGCCTAATTTTCCATACCATAACATTCCCCGTATCACCATCATGACCGCAGGGAAATCGAGATTTAAGGACAGCGCCGCCTTACCACAAAACCAGCAGTCATCCCTAAAACGTGGGACATATACTTTGGCCACCTCAGATACCCGATATTCCAATAAGTTGAGTAACTTTGGATACGAGTAGGGCAACTGCAGAACGGTAGACTGGGAGAGTGGATGCAACATATGATGAGTTTCACCCTTCTCTCCTTCTTTGACACAAATCAACCAACCCCTTTCACGGGGATAACCGGTGGCGGCGGGAGGTGCAAGATGACAGATTACACTCTCGTTGAGGGTGAAGCTGAGGGAGCACTTCTTAGTGACGACTTGAATGGGGAATTGCAAAGGGAATTGTTTTGAAAAAAGAGGAAGAGAGGATCGCCATGACTTACACACAGCACGAAATCGAGAAACGTCGGTCTTTGTGTTGAGGCACTTGCCGATGCTCTCCCATAATTCATCTGGTATTCTGCTCGCCATCCTTAATATTTTATAATTGTATGTTGTTTTATGTTTAAGAATACGTAGGGCAGATGGGTTATTTAATGTCCTGGTGAAGCACAAATAGTCCTATGAGAATTGGGATTCTTGAATGATCAATCAGTTCTTTTTTCTTTTCTATTTTACTTTATTGTTTTCTCATTGAGAAAACTTAGCTCTTGTATCTCAAAGCGAATCCTACGAGAATTGGCAAGTTTTCACTCTAAATTTCTATATCCTCAACTTCCATATTTGAATTGTAGAAATTTTGGTTGTTGGTGTGGTTGTGTGTTAGGGGAGAGAAGGAGAGAAAAATAAATAACACAGCATAGAAGAAGCAAAATGGAAGGTATGACGTTAATATCAGGATATTATTGAGTCAGAAAGTGCTACAATCTTCTTTAGTTGTCTAAGCTCTAAACAAACATGAACTAAAGAATCTTCAGATAAGATATTCAAGTTGAAGCAACATGTTCTGCACTTACAAATGCCGTCAAACTAAAACGTAGAAAGGTCTCATCCTGAGTTAACGGAACATCTGCCACACACAGCTAGACTGCTAGTGATACCATCCTCCAATGTGGTTCAACATGATTTTCAGAAACACTGTATGATCTGGGAATTGGTGAAACTCGCGCAACACCCCTTAAATCTTGTGAACTCTTGAACAAAAGCAGAGAAAGATAATCACCACCGAACACCCACAACACTTGACTTTTCACCCAGATGCTTTCTTCCATATGTGAACTGAACTTTAAAATCTTGAATTTGACAACCTGACACTTTCAGCTACAGACAGCTACCAAAACTTCCTGTGACTACCAACCAACACCAGATGTTGAAAAATGCGATCTGTCACTTCCAAAGATGAAATAAACGTGACTGCTCTCCCAAAGAAGAATTAACCATCTTCAATCTCCCCAGCAAGTCAATGAGTGCAAACCTGCAGAAAAAGAAAAAAAAAACAATAACTAGTGAGAGCATCAAAGTATCAATGTGAAGCATTTCTTATTGCAATTTTGGTTGCAACATCATTGATAAATTTTTCATTATCAATATTTTCTAGAAGATCATTTTCAACAGAAATCAAATCTCGTCCATCTAATTTTTCTTGCGATATTGGCGATTGCAAGTAAGATTTTAGTAACTTCAATTTTGAAAAACTACTTTCTGTAGATGCCAATGTAACAGGTACAGTCAATAATATTCTATAAGCAATGCATGCATTTGGAAGACCTAGTTCTTTTATGAAATTTAGTATTTCAAGGGCTGTCATTTTTTCTTTTGGTAAATTCCCTCGTAAGAATTTTAGTTCTTCAAATAAATCATTTCCATCAACATCACAAGATTTTCCATGCTTTAGACTGAATTCAAGATGACCACAACAAGATTTCAAATTATTATCATCCAATGAATTTAACTTCTCTGAACTAAACAAGAACCCAAAAACATCCTCATACGCCTGAAACTGTTCAAACATTCTCTTCAATAAACCTATAACTTGATCCACTATATGTAAGAAATAATGAATTCTAAAGGATTCTTCAACAGATTCAGTAGATGATTCATTGACATTCGCAGCATGGTTCTTTCTACGGGTTTTACAAGTTTCATTAAACACATAATCAATTTCCATTTCAGTAGCAATTCCTTTAGCAACAGTCATGGCCTGTGTAAACCCTGTTTCTTTATATTCTTCAAAGAAATTAATCAGCCTTTTTACCTCATCTATAGCAACATCAATAAGCATGTCTTTAGATTCTAAGTATTTGCCAACAGAGTCAACAACAGAGAGTATGTCAAACCAAATAATCATGCGTAATAAAAACTCAAAATCAAATCCATATGTTGCTAAAGAAAGAGCTTGGCACCTCACTTTGAGGTCAGGCACAGTTTCTGCTAATTGAAGTAAAGCTTCTCTTACTTCTAGAGCATGGAGTCTTATTGCTCTAACACTTTCAATTTCACTCTCATAATGTGGGATCGTTAATTGCTCAAGAGTTAAACCTTTTACATTATCTTCCAAAATTTTCCAACACTTTGAACAATGAGAAAACAATGTATAAATATTTTGTATCACTCCAAAAAAATATTTTGCTTCACTACAAGAGTCTAGAATGTCACAAAGAGTTAAGTTTAGACTATGACAACCACATGGCATATACCATGCTCTACGATTTATATCTAAAAGCTTATTCTGTACACCTTGGTCTCTCCCTCTCACATTAGATCCATGATCATATCCTTGTCCTCTTACATCGTCAAGATTAAGGTCAAGAGATTTTAACACACTTTGCAATTCTTCAAAAAGTCCTTGGCCCGAACACACATTTAAAAACCCTAAAAAGTACTCTTCTATTTTTGTTGGACTTGTAGAAACATCTACAGATCGTAACAGCAAAGAAATTTTTTTTTCGTCATTTGAATCAAGAGTACAATCAAGAATCACAGAAAAATACTTTGCTTCCTTAATTTTTTTTATGATTGTACTTTTGATTTCATAAGCTAACAAAATTATCAACTCTTGAATGTTACAACCTAGATAATGACAATGAATCTCATTGTTTTGAACACGTCCAATATGCATTTGCATTACTTGATCCCAGACTGCGATCATTTCAATTTGGGTAAAAAAATTTCCACGATCATTTTGATAAATCCTGTCATTTGTTCCAAAGAATGTGAACTTATGTTTAACAAGAAATTTCACAACTGAAATGATTCTTGGCAACACATTTCTCCAGTGTTGTTTCTCCTGGTCAATCTTGTCAGGAACTATTTTATCCACTGTTTCATTTTTCTCCAATGTAAGACGCACATCCTTCCAAGTGATCATGTGAAAGATGTGCTCAATGCTTGTTTCATGTTCTTTGAGCAAAAGACTAAGTTGTTCCCAGTCTCCATATCCTTCATTTGCTAACTGACATTTTGGGGACAAAGGTTTAAACAACTTGCAACAAAAACAAAATACTTTATCAACATCCTTTGAATAAACTAGCCATTCTCTATCACGTTTCTCTCCATTTGGTAAATAACGAGTGTAAAATGTTGAAGAGAAACATCTAGAGGATTTATCTTTTGGGCCTTTCTCCCCAAAAAGATCTCTTCTAGGCCCTTTTTCAACTAATAGATCTCTCAGTTTTGTACTGAGATTCTCCCAATTACTTGGATCATAAATGTCCAAGGGAATGGACTGAGGAGGTTGTTCATTGACTAAATTAGAGACATCATCATTTTCAACATGATCTCCTAAATCATCAACATGTTTAATTTTTCTCTTATTTCTGCATTTATCATATCCCAGTGGTTTCATAGGAAGCATTTTCACAGTAAAAGAAATCACAGTGAAAGAAGTCAGAACGATAGAACCTGGAACGAAGACACAGCGTGGTCTGCGTGAGGAAGTCAGAAGATAATTCTTAACTTCATAACCTGATAAAACAATGAACAAGATTAATTTCAAGAAGCAAAGTTAAAAACCCAATTCCAATATTCAGAAACAGTTAGCATCTGCCACAATATATCAAAGCTACTAATCCAAATCACGCCCACTGTGAGAGAGAGAGAGAGAGAGAGAGAGAGAGAGAGAGAGAGAGAGAGAGAGAGAGAGAGAAACCATACCTTGAAAATCACCAAATTTTCGGAACTCTTCTGACGGAGTGACCAACCGATAAGAAGAAATCTAATGAAAAAATAAGGAAATAAAGAGTTTCAGATACAAATCAAACGAAAATTTAGGCGAAATTAGAAAATGTGGAAAAATATATAAAGATTTGTGCCTCACCACCGGTAAGAGGGCTGAGAACCTGAGAGAGTGAGAAAGAGAGCAATTTCACAGAGAGAGAGAGAGAGAGAGAGGGGATCAGTTCAATTTCTTTATTATATTCTCGATAAAAATCTAAGCTCAAACGGTCAAAAAAAATCGGGCCGCCGTCTAGAACTGGGCCTGCAATGTAGAAATGGCATTTCTTTCTGGGTTTACCCATTGGGCTGTAATAATTATGATGGGTGTTTTCGTCTTTTAGGCAAAACTTTTCTTTTGGGGTCAAATTGGGCCGAAACCGAAAGTCTTTTTTTTCTTTCTTTTTTTGGGATCAAAATTAGGCCGAAGTAATATGATGATCTTGAACAGCACCCAAGAATTTGATCTCCGCACCTATTCACAAAATTTCACATCGATCCCTTGTTCATTTCGTGTCAACGTTTTAAAGATTTTCAAAGAGATTAAGGAAAATTCATGGGGCAAAGTTGGAAGTGAAGGAAAATTCTTGGGTGCAGAGAGAAATTAGAAAGTCTCTAACATTGAAATAAATCAAAATTTTGGATTAAAAAGATATTTTATTTTGTAAATAGCATGTGACATGGACTGTTACCACATAACTCAACATGGAGAACGAGCTTATGCAAACAAGATCCAACACTTGTGCATAACTAAAGATCCCATCAATTCAACTCAAGAGCCAGCATACAAAAATTTCTTCTGACAACCGAATCATATTAAGCTAGCAACAAACGCATTCGAAAACCAAAGTTCTAGTCTAAAAAATACGGAGAGATAGAGAGTGTGATAAGATATGAAACAAAGGAGAGGACGTGATGAGATTTGAAGAAAAAAGAGAGAGAGAGAGAGAGAGAGAGAGAGAGAGAGAGAGAGAGAGGATATAGTTCTAAATTAGAGAAAGAGAGCTGCATATTTAAAGAAAAATATTGAAGAGATAGAGTCAATTGCATAGAGAAATTAAAAACTCTCCAAGAATGAAATAAATAAAATTCTTAGATTAGAAAGATATTTTCTTTTGTAAATAACATGTGACATGGAGCTACTAAGTGCATAACCACTTTACTATTACTACATTACTCAAAATGGAGAACGACCTAATCCAAACCAGATTGAACACTTATACATAACTAAGGAGCCTAACAATTCACCCAACTCAAGCCAACATACAAAAATTTGTTATGACAACCAAATCAAATAAGCTAGCAACAAACACATTCGAAAACCTAAGTCCTATGTCTACAAAATATGGGGATATAGAGAGAGTAATAGGATACGAAACAACGGAGAGGACGTGATGAAATATGAAAAAATACAGAGAGAGATGAGATTTGAAAAATATAGTTATAGATATGAAAAGAAAGAAAAAAAAATTAAAGACAGAGTTTTTGCAGACTCATGAAAAAGAAAGAGAGACAAGATGGAGGTGAGGTAGAAACCATTGTCACATGGGTCTGTTCTTACCTATGGAAAAAAAAATATATATATATATATATTACGTACTACTATGTAACTTGAAAAGTTGTCAAACACCTATTTATAATTGATCATTTCTTCCTGATTGCAAAAGATAATAAGCATAAAGTCAATTCATTATTATTTCATTCAGAATAACAAAATATAATAAGCATAAAATCCCATGCTAATATAACTGGAAACTTGAAATTCATAGACCTCCAGTTCAAATTAACTTAAAAACTGACTGAAACTGTTCCATAAGTTCTCTCCTGAACTGCACTCCTGCGAGCCCTGGTTTATTTGATAACATGGCATGGCAGGACCTCCAGAGCTCTCTCACACTTCACCTGTCAAGATCATGTCACGAAGCAATCAAACACAAAAACAAACAAAAAACCACAAGGAGAGAGAAGGCAGAGCAATTGCTTACAGAAGCTAAGGCGGGGAAGGCCAATATATCTCGGCAAAGAATGGAGCCCCTGCAGCATTTACAACGCTAATGCTATGGTCTGCCAAGTTGAAAACCGAACCATCCCCAACAGTGCTCAAGCTTCTCAGCGCCAGAGGATTCTCCCGGTGATCGGAGAAGTAAATGCAGTTCCTTGAGCACCCAACAATGTCTTCAGCCGAAACAGAGAACGAAAAATCAACGTTCAAGAAAAATGCTTGGTCATCCAAGTTCTGCACTTCATCCCATCTCCCCCTCTCTTGATCCAACTTATAAACCCTGAAATTAACGGTATTCAGCGGACACTCGTCGATTGCCTCAGGCCAACCATTCCCTTGATACCGAATAAAACGATAGAAACTGGTAACCGGGTCTGGTCTTGCATTCGGGTCCGCCACCATGTACCTGTCAATCAGATAAAGATGTCCGCAGCTCTCGACCAGATGCTTCTTGTGCCCAAAACAGACCAACCGAGGCGCGAATTGAACCACTCCCAGAGTCGGGTCGACCAGGAAAACCGTGCCCCATTTGTCTACAACGTACGGCCGGCCCTTGTAAACAATCAGATCACTGTAACTAGAAAACCGATTGCCGATGCTTCTCAAACGCTCGTCCCCATTCTGAGCAAAACCCAGTTTTCCTTTGTGGTGAATGACGAGAATTGAGCAGGGTTCAGAGTGAGGAAGTTCAATGACTTTGCTCACGCGATCAACGTAGGCAGAGCCAGCTGAGTTTTTGAGAGCGTAGGCTTGGCCCAGCTCCACTATCTTATAATTTATAAAGTTCAGGTGCTCTGGGTAAAAGTCCTCCCCGCACCTCAATTGGCGGTTGGTGATGGGGTGAAGAAGGCGCAGGTTCTGGTTGCACTCTTCTAGTTTCAGGAGCCAGCCCTTTGGGGAAGATGATGATGAGGATGGTGATGACGTGGAGGCGTAAGGAAATGGGTTGGTTCGGAGGAGGTAGAGAGTGGTTCGGGCGAGGGAGGCTTTGGAGTGGAAGGAGAACGGGTATGGGAATTCTGTAGGAATGGAAGGGTGGAATCGGGGAATGGAATGGCGCCAGGAGTAGGAGACGCTGCGAAATCGCAGCCGTTCGATGAAAGGTTTGAGCTGCTGGCCGATCCGGTGCCAGAGCTCATCTGGGAGTTTGGACCAGTCCACTGAACAGGGGGCTCTGGAATCCATGGTAGGACCTCTGTTTCTGTTGACAGATGATGACATGCAGAAAGAGAGAGTGAGAGAGATGGTGAGAGTTTCACTCAAGGAGGCAGAGGTGATGGTAGGACCAATGTCCAAGAACATAATCCTTTTATACTGCAATTCTAGGGTAAACAAATTTGTTTTTCTCAAATTTAGTCATCAAATCATCTGGAATTTTGCTCCCGAACCGGAGCTCTTCTCCGGTCGGGAGCTTAGTTAGCGAATTAGTCTGCTAATCAACTCAACCAACAAAGAATTAATGTTTTCTGAGACATTTTAAGATAATTCGAGGTTAAGTAATGTTTTAACAAATAAATGTAGTTCCTTCCTCTATTTGATAAATGACGCTTATGATTTTGATTGGTGATCGATAAATGGCGGGAAACCGACATGCTTATTTATTTATTTTATTTTATATTATTTTTTGCTTTTAAGAGTGATAAAATTTACAAAGTCTAACTTTAAACAAAGGTTCTCACTTCCCTTCACGTTGATAATTGGTCAAAATCATAAGCGATGGCGACAGTCATCCATCCGAGTGGATGAGTGAATGGATGAGTGAAGGAGGGTGAGATGCAAGGATATAGAGCAAGGAACTATTTGAATTATAATGTTGTCATGCTTCATTATTAATTGATTATACTTAAAATAAGATTTGAGTTCATTCGAAAAAATAAAAATAAAAAAAAGAAATTGATAATGTGGTAAATAATGACGTCAAAATTTGATATTCTAGAATCATGTATTTGTTTTCTTTTAAGGCAAGAAACTAGATAAGGTTGTTTTCCATTTCAGGACAAATCCAGACTACACAGAGTTGTCTTGTGTGTCCCCTGAATAGGCAAAGTTGCTTCCCTGTCCCAGTGTGCCTCTTACAAGTCTCTTGCCAAAATTAAATACCATTTACAGTCATTTGCCAGACAAAAATACCATTAACACCATTCACACCCACTCACCAAAAAAATACCATTAGCATTTAGCACTCACTTACCAGAAAAATATACTATTAATACTCATTTACCAAAAAGATACATCATTAACCAGAGAAAATACTTTAATCTTTTCCATTTAGTTGCAGTTGGCCAATGAAAGTTGAAGCAGAGAAAGTATTTAAGAATTCCTTTTGAAATCAACATAACATTAAACAGTAACATTCACACTCTCTTACCAGAAAAAAATACCATTAATACCCATTTACCAAAAAGATACATTAACCAGAGAAAATACTTAATTCTTTTCCATTTAGTTGTAGTTGGCTAATTTGGATTTGGTGGCCAATGAAAGTTGAAGCTTTAAACCCAAAATATTTAGAGCTTGTCTGGTAACGTTTTCGGAGAGAATGTCTTAAGAATTCCTTTCAAAATCCTAGAAAACCAACATAACATTAAACAGTAACTTACAAAGATACAATTTCAAGAGAGAATGCCTTACATTACATGAATGTATAATTTATAAATCCATAACAACATTAGATTACACTGTAGATAATTTTACAAATCATTCTTCGTGAGAAATTGGAACCTCCAGCCTCTTTCCCCTGTAAGCAGGAAGCAAGGTCCCTGTGAAGATCAAGTTCAGAAATAATTAATACCAAAAAAAGAAAAAATAATCCTTTTCCTTTTCCTAGTGACACAAGAACATCATAAGTAATTAACATATACAGAAAGCTTGTTTGTCAAGTAAGCTTGTTAAGAGCATATAAAAACAACATAATCATATGTATACTTACATTAATCCAAAGGATAATTAAGCTGGGAGTGGCCAAAACATCTGAGAATAAACAGGGGAAGAACTAAGCCAATTAATGATATGATCTTCCAAGCAGAAAACAGACCCATCTGATCTGATCAACCCTCTCAACGCGAAACCAATGTCATTTGAATCTGTGAAGTAAATGCAATTCCCTTTGCACCCTTCCAACTCTGCAGCCAAAACAGAGAAACAGCAATCAATACTCAAGAAGAAAGCTTGACCCCCCAAGCTCTTCACTTCAACCCATCTACCCCCCAACTCTTCATCACCCAACTTATAGACCTTGAAATCAATTGCCTTGGGCTGATCGGCTTCGTAGATTCTTCGACCACGACGAAGAGGATGGCGAAGAAAAAAATTAAAACTAGCATTACGAACACAAATTCTTGGTGATGTTTGATCTTGCTGATTAGCATCAAGGTACCTATCCACCACATAAAGCTCTCCACAACACTCAATTAAATTCTTTCTGCAACCAAAACCAATAGGAGGCGAAAAAGGCACCAATTCCAGAGACAAATTGATCCTAAAAATTTGACCCCATTTGTTAACAACACAAGGCTGACCCTTGTACACAATCAAATCATCGTAATCCGAAATTTGGTCATTGATGAGTGTGAGCTCCTCATTTCCAATTTGGGCAAAACCCAATTTTCCTTCATTGTAGATCATGAAAATTGAGTCTTTAAAGTTAGGGGCTACAATCACCTTGTTTATACCAAAAATGGAACCAGACCCCTTTGTGTATCTCAGCGCATATGCTTTGCCCAGCTCCACCATGTTAAGGTCCACCAGGTTCAAATCCGTTGGATTTCTTGCAACGTCGTCCTTGACAGAGCTGACCCGCCAGTTGGTTATCGGATTCAGAAGGCGAATCTTGTCCGCGCACTCTTCGAGCTTCAGCAACCAGCCCTTGGATGAAGGCGATGAGGACGACGAGGAAGGTTTCGGATTCGGATTCGGATCCGGATCCGGGTCGGGTCGGGTGAGGTAGACGGTGATTTGGGAGAGGAAGCCAGTGGGCCCGTGAGGGAAAGGGAAATTGGGAGATATGGAGGCGCAGAAAGGAGGAATGGAAGAACGCCAGGAGCTGCAGACGCTGCGGAATCGGAGGACTTCGATGTGGGTTTTGAGGTTTTGGGCGATGAGTTGGTAGAGTTGGGGTGGAAGGTTGGTCCAGTCGACTCTGATGCTGCTGCCATCCATGGCGGCCTTGTGCTTCTTCTTCTGTTGACTTTGATGAGTAGTTTTGCAGAGCATTGTGCTTCTTCTGTTAAATTTGATGAAACACTCGGTGTTAATTTTTTTTTCTCTTGCGCTACTAGTAGTTACTTACTGGTTTACTTTTTTTAATAGTCTCATGTCACTGGCTGCTCGAAAGTCAATATTTTCTTTTTAAAATACTAGCATCTTCGCATGCGCGGCTTTTTGAAAAAAATTTAAAATTTATTTTAGAATTAAAAATAATAATGAATAGTTGTATTCTATAAAAATAAAACCTATTATTTAATTTTGTTTTAATATGAAAAATTATGAATTTATCATATTATCCTCATTTAATTAATAATTTCAATTCTTAATATTTGAATTAACCAATGGCATTTTCTGGTATTTTGAATGTTTCACAATTATCTGCCTTTCGCTTTATATATATAGATTTATTAAAGTTAAATATTTTTTTGGTAATTGAGTTTTACACAAAATTGTAATTTGATTTCTAAGAAAAAAAAATTGTTTTGCTATAGTTTAAACTATAAGGTATTCTCACACAAACAACCAACGTGCCATGAGAATTCGAACCTCGAACCTCGAACTTGAAATCACTAGTCTGCAAGTTAAGGCCATTTCTTCATTGTGCTAGACATTGTTTGCCTTTTTTAATTTATGTTAAAAAAATTATCAGACAAACGCATATTTTTGCCCACAACTCTAACCCATGGTGTATCCTTAACACCCTTTTCAACACTTAACATGTATCCATGTGTATAACCATAGTTAACTCTATGCTTTGTATTTGTGGAACTATGGTTATGCTCATAGACACGTGTCAAGTGTTGAGAAGAACTGTGGGAATATACTGAAATAAGAGAACTTGAGGGAGATGTAATGGAGAGATGGGGGTGTTTGGAGATAAGAGGAAATAGAGATGAGGGAGATAAGAGGGATGGGAAGAAGTGAGATTGGAGATTCAGAGAGAAGTAGGGAAAGGAGGAAAAGATGAGAAGAAATGGAACAGCAACCAGAAGATGTAAAAAAAAACTCTCACATAGGAGAGGATGAACTCCCACAGAAGAGAGAAAGGAAAAAGGAGGAAATAGAGACTCTCTCTCCTCCTTTGGGCAATGCAATTATGCAACCAGACAGTTTTGGTATAAAAATCTTAGATTGATAATTTGTAAAATCTCAGATAATTATAAAAATAAATTGAAAATAATTTGTAACATCATAAGTAATTAACATATACAGAATATTAGGGGGAAAACAACTAAAGCTTGTTTATCAATTAAGAACAAGTACCAGAAAGCCTGTTTGTCAAGTAAGCTTGTTAAGAGTATATAAAAACAACACAATCATATATATACACACACTTACATTAATCCAAAGGATAATTAAGCTGGGAGTGGCCAAAACATCTGAGAATAAACAGGGGAAGAACTAAGCCAATTAATGCTACGATCTTCCAAGCTGAAAACAGACCCATCTGATCTGAGCAACTCTCTCAACGCCAAACCAATGTCATTTGAATCTGTGAAGTAAATGCAATTCCCTTTGCAACCCTCCAACTCTGTAGCCAAAACAGAGAAACAGCAATCAACACTCAAGAAGAAAGCTTGATCCCCCAAGCTCTTCACTTCAACCCATCTGCCCCCCAACTCTTCATCACCCAACTTATAAACCTTGAAATCAACTGCCTTGGGCGGATCAGCGTCGTAGATTCTTCGACGACGACGAAGAAGAGGATGGCGAAGGAAAAAATTAAAACTAGCATTACGAACCATAACCAATTCGCCTCTAGCATTACGTACTTGTGATTTTTTATCTTGCTGATCAAGGTACCTATCCACCACATAAAGCTCTCCACAACATTCAATTAAATTCTTTCTGCAACCAAAACCAATCGGAGGAGAAAAAGGAACCAATTCCAGAGACGAATTGATCCTAAAAATTTGACCCCATTTGTTAATAACAAAAGGCTGACCCTTGTACACAATCAAATCATCGTAATCAGAAATTTGGTCATTGATGAGTGTGAGCTTCTCATTTCCAGTTTGGGCAAAACCCAATTTTCCTTCATCGTAGATCATGAAAATTGAGCAGTCTTTAAAGTTAGGGGCTACAATCACCTTGTTTATTCCAAAAATGGAACCAGGCCCCTTTGTGTATCTCAGCGCATATGCTTTGCCCAGCTCCACCATGTTAAGGTCCACCAGGTTCAAATCCGTTGGATTTCTTGCAACGTCGTCCCTGACAGAGCTGACCCGCCAGTTGGTTATCGGATTCAGAAGGCGAATCTTGTCCGCGCACTCTTCGAGCTTCAGCAACCAGCCCTTGGATGAAGGCGATGAGGACGACGAGGAAGGATTCGGATTCGGATCGGGTCGGGTGAGGTAGACGGTGATTTGTGAGAGGAAGCCAGTGGGCCCGTGGGGGAAAGGGAAATTGGGAGATATCGTGGCGAGGAACGGAGGAATGGAAGAACGCCAGGAGCTGCAGACGCTGCGGAATCGGAGGACTTCGATGTGGGTTTTGAGGTGGTCGGCGATGAGTGGGTAGAGTTGGGGTGGATGGTTGGTCCAGTCGACTCTGCTGCTGCTGCCATCCATGTCGGCCTTGTGCTTCTTCTTCTGTTGACTTTGATGAGTAGTTTTGCAGAGCATTGTGCTTCTTCTGTTAAATTTGATGAAACACTCGGAGTTAGTTTTTTTCCTCTTGCGCTACTAGTAGCGAAAATTCTACGGCGGGCGTGGCGCGTGGATGCGCCCACTGTTATAGACCGTTGGATGAATAGTTGGTGATGTGGAGTTATCCACACCGTTGAGTTAGTTACTGGATAAATCTGTTGTTGTAAAGAAAAAAAAAGCAAAACTCTCCTTCAGTCTGACATTTCAAGTCAAGTTTGGGTAGGGTTTCTCTTCTCTCTCTTTCCTCTCCGCCTCCTGTGACGACGAGGCAGCTCGACGAACAAGACTCCTCTCCTCTCAGGTATCTCTCTCTAGTAGTTACTAGTTTACTTTTTTTAATAGTATCATGTCACGCTTCACGAAAGTCAATATTTTATTTTTAAAATATTTATTAAAGTTCAATAATTTTTTTGGTAATTGAGTTTTACATGAAATTGCAATTTGATTTCTAAGCCCAAAGAAAAAAAAATGGTTTAGCTATAGTTTAAACTATAAGGGAGAGGATTCTCACACAAACAACCAAGGTATCATAAGAATTCGAATCTCAAACATAAAATCACTGGTCTGCAAGTCAATGCCATTTTTTCATTGTGCTAGACTTTGTTTGCCTTTTTAAATTTATGTTTAAAAAACTTATCCGACAAACACATATTTTTGCTCATCACTCTAACCCAATGTGTATTCTCAACACTTGACACGTGTCCATTAGTATAATCATAGTTCCACAAATACAAAGCAAAGAGTTAATTATAATTATGCAAATGGACACATGTTAAGTGTTGAGAAGGATTACGAGGATATACGTACCTTGAGTTAAAGTAGTGAGAAAATGAGAATTAATTACAAAATATTCTCAAGGTCTGAACATAACTCCAAGGACAACAATCCAAAACCGCTATTAGAACTAGAATTTGAGAATTCCATCTGAAATCCAAGTAACCCAAATATAACACAAAACAAGAACATTTAAAAAGATATAAGTTCCAAGCTTAGACATTGCATTGGACCGATGAAAAGACGAGAGTCTTAAACATTGGACAAACTAGACTGATAATTTAACACTGGTTTTATTCTAGGGTAATTTTGCATATCACTCTTCATGAGAGCAATGGTGTCAAAATCAAACAAAATGAACAAGCATATTTGTCTCTATGCCCTACTAGGACTGTTTGCAGGTGTTATTTTCAGCCTTTGCTTGCATGGGTCTCAAATGAATTTGGAGGAGCAACTTAATAGAGCCCCTCTTACACAGAGTTTTGGTGAGTTCAAAATCTATCTCATACCTTTTGTTGGCTGAAATACATACAACTTAAACGTAACAGGGGAAAGACTAGAACATGTAACATGTATAGGACCACTGTATTGAACAGAGTATAGTGTTTTTGCTAACTGTAAAATAGACGTAGAATTCAAGGCCAATGCAATTTATCACCAGAAAGCGACTTGAAGTTTTCACCAGAAATTGCATTTCCCACAATGGCTAAAATATTGTGTCAAGCTCAAGCTTTTAAATATCAGAACAGCTTCCCAATTATCTTTCACACTGGCACCCTCAGTCACAATTTCGTCACTGTTCCATCTACTTTCTTCTCTATGGGAAAGAGGTGTAGAACATAGATACCTTGTCGTGTCAGTAGTGTGTGAGCCTATCTCATTGTATGAGATATCCAACACTTCTAGTGACTTCAACAGTCTCAACGGCCCCAGAGCAGTTAAACTACCGAGCTTGTTGTTACTCAGATTTAAGCAAGACAGAAGCTGCATGGCCTCCAATCCGGTCCAAAAGCCCAAGTATAAGACATTCCTCTCAACAGAAAACAATCAAATACATCTTATTGGCTACTAAGATGCATAACGTACAGACAAAGACAGATGAAGTTGCAGAGGAAGTTCCTGGTCCTCTGGTTTCTCCAGAAAATTTCACAAAAGGGCAAGCCCCCGGAACTGCAGATACTCAACTCAAACAATTTAGCAGAGCAGTTTCATGGTCGAGTACTTGAGTTCCTCAACCATGGATGCAGTGCTCAGTTCTACATGATATGGTTTTCACCAGCAACCAAGTTTGGCAAAAGAGAAGTCATGGCCACGGACAGTCTCTTAAAATTCAATCCTAAAGGGTGCTTGATGATCCTATCAAAAAGCATGGATTCAGGAAGTGGATACAGAATCCTGAAGCCGCTTCTAGATCGAGGATTCAAAGTAAAAGCATTAACACCAGACCTGCCCTTTCTAGTCAAGAACACCCCAGCTGAAACTTGGCTTCAAGAATTATGACTTGTCTCAGACAACTGTGTCATTTTCCCTGATATGCATACTTCATAAGGAAATTTTTGCGCCATAAGATGGTGAAGGTGAAGCCTATATGCCTAGGCATTTGACTTACCTAGTCACATCACATGTAGCAGAACCCACTATCTCTCTAGTAGATGTTCATAGTTCCATTACAGAAAGGGTCGCGGGTGTGAGCAAGGGGTCGTCGCGGCCTGGGGGTGGTGATAGACTCGTGAGAGAGAAGGAAGCAACAGCGTGAGGTTTTTAAAGTTAGGGGAAAAAAAAAAGGACCCGCCTAACCCGCCTAGCCACCGCCTAGACCGCCTAGCCCGCCTAGGAGCCGCCTAGACCCGCCTAGGCAGATTTTTCGAATCTAAAGCAAAATAAAGGAATTCATAGCTATTTGAATGTCCCAACCAGTGTTTTCAAAGGCATGCCTTCGCGCGCGTCGGAGCGAGGCGGCAGGGAATCGCCCGAGGCGGTCGGCTGTTTCGCGAGTTGCACGTTTGGCGCGGGGAAGGCGTGAGGAGGCGTTTCAAGGCGTAGCCAGGCGGAGCAAGGAATCACCAGATCTGGAACCTTCTGAACCGGAAGAGATTTTGCGAGTCTGCAAATTGGCTGTGAGGAAGACGACTGAGGAAGACGATCGTCTTTTTTCTTTTTTTTTCTTTTTTTTTTTCAGGGTTGATGAAACGACGTCGTTTCAATTTCAGTGTTTAAAACTTTAAATGAAACGACGTCGTTTCACTGGGAGTGTTTTGATTTAAAAAAACGCGTTCATGTTTTTTTTTTTTTTTTTTTTCTTACCTTTATTCTAATAAACTTACGGTAAGAAGATATTAAAATCTTTCTTGCCTTTTCTAACTCCAGTTGTAGCTTTATTCTAGTTACCTTTCTTTTCTTTTTTTTTCTAAATTAATATATATATATATATATAATATTGTATACTATAACCCTATATATATATGGTGAAAGTTACAATTAATGTTTAATTCATTACCATTAAATTTTATGTTGGTGGTGGTGATAAACCTGGTACAATCAAAGCATACTCATTTCTCCTTTTTCTGTTTTGCTGTCTTCGTTTCCACTTGCTTGATTTTAGTCATGCATGTTGATTCCTCAGTAGGGAAATCTGAACCAAGCTCTATACTTTGTATATACGGTCAAGTTGGAGAAATCTAAACACAATCTGTTTTGTCTACACCTTACTCTAGTACCAAAGTTAGTTCTAGTTTGTTGTGTGGTTGTGTTGGTCAAGTTAGTTGGAAGGAAGACTGGTTTTGAGTGCGTAGGTGGAAGGTAGGGATAGTGCGTAGGAGAAGGTAGGTGGGGAAGGGAAGAAGGAGAAGGGGTGGTATAGAGAAGCGGTGAGTGTTGGGTGAAATGAGAAGTGGGACGGATGTGAGAGGCGGCTGGCCAACAAAAGGGTTGAGAGCCGGGGAGACTGATGTGGGGAGTGGGGAGGTTTGGATGTCAGTTTGGTGGGCTTCGAGAGAAGAAATGGAGTCGACAACACCGTCAAGTTGGGATTGGAGGTGGTCGTGGCGAACATCAGCGGTGGCGGCACTAAGATCCTTATCAGAGATCGAGAGATGTAGGGTTTTGCCCATGAGGGCTCTGATACCAGTTGGTAGGGTCTGGCTTACAGAAAGATGAGTTGGTGATGAAAAGAGCAGAAATCGTACAGGAAGACGTCAATGAAAGAGTAAGGAAAGGAAAGAAATTGCGAACATAAAACAAATTATCTTCCACTTGTTCGAGAATTTCCTAAACTCAAACGTCATGAATATTAAATAGATTAAAATAATAAAACAAATTAAAAAGAAATGTCGCCCAATATTAACTAGACTCTCCGCATGTGCTTCTGAGCCTGCGAGCAGATATTTAAAAAAAAATGGTATTTTCCATCTGCTCCGAGAGATGCAGAAAAGGGTCTTCATTAGCAGTAAACAAGTAACTTCCCTACGTCAAGTATTGAAAAATAATTAATACCCAAAGAAAATTCCCTCTTTTTTTCCCTAAGTGAAACACAATTATTACAGAACATTCAGAGAAGAAAACTTAGTTAACAATAGCATACATTGTGAAGTTTTGATCTATCTCCATACCATAACCACAATATACTGTCGTGAAGGATTAAAATGTCTTCTAGGCAAATTTATTTTCTTTAAGATTTGTAGAATTCTCTCTTAAAATAAATAACGATACTCTCCAATCAATCTACCTCCTGAATTCTAATACAACTCTTTTTTTTTCCCCCTTTTTGTTACAACGGAAGGGAATCGAACCCTCAACCTAACCTAATTCTAACCCATATTCTCACCCATACTCACCACTTGGGCTTACCAGAGTAAACTCTTTCAGATTTTGAAGGACTCTTTCTTCTTTTAGTTGATTATGTTGTAAAATGCACCCTATATTCATCAGAGTGTTTGCATATAGCCCCTTCAATTGGAGCCTCTGTTCAACTTGCTAGACATTATGTATAAACTTGAGAGAGAGAGAGAGAGAGAGAGAGGTTGCATGCACTAACCATGTTATGATACCAAAATATGGATGCACATACCCCAATTTTAAGTTTAAAACAATACAATCTACTCAAAAGAGCCAAGCTTGTTGATGAATTAAGCATGATCCAACATCAACTACACACTCAAGACCCCAACCTTCCAATAGCTTATTAGTTTTACATTGTGAAGATGAAACTTAGAAAGAAAATTATAAGCATGTAACCAGTAAACATTCTATTCTGTATCTTGAGAAGTAATAAGAACAAATATTTCATACTTACATTCACCAATCAGCATGCAGACAGACATCAGTCGGGGGAGAGCCAGGCTGAGGGTGGCTGGAGAATCAGAGAATAGCCAGGTGAAGCTGCTAGGTTCGTAATGCTGCCATTTTCCAAATTGAACACACAACACTCACGAGTAAGTGTTCTTGGCCCTCCAAATTCTGGCTCATAAGTACGCTTTTGGTCGGTGAACAAAATGCAATTCCCTTTCACTCTAGAAACGCCTCTGGTGGAGACAGAGAAAGAGTCGTCATGGCTCAAAACAAACACTTGATCTCCCAAGCTATTCACCTCAACCCACCTACCCCATTCTTGTTCCAGCTTATAAACTTTAAAACTAACTGTCTCAGGATAAGGGGCAGTGAGATCCCCAAAAATAAGGTCCCGGTGCTCTAACATCTTGCCCATCTTGGGCCTCTGCCTCTCAGTGAACCGATCAACCACATAAAGATCACCACCAGACTCAACCAAATGCTTCTGCTCACCCAACCTACCTAAGGGAGGCGAAAATTGAATCACCTTAAACTCTGAATTCATGCATGAAACTATTCCCTCTCTATCAACAACATAGCAGTGACCCTTATAAGCAATAATATCATCAAACCAAGAGTCTTTTTGTTTCAAAAGGGTCCATTTCTCATCTCCGAATCTGGCAAAGTACAACTGGCCTTCACCGTGCATCATCATCACAGTAAAATTATCCAAATGGGTTGGATTCAAGACTACAACTTTGTTCATACAATCAACAGTGAAATCGTTAAGCCGATACTTAAGGGCATACGACTTGCTCAATTCCACAATCCCAAAGTCCAATAAGTTGAATTGCTTTGAAGAACCGTCAGGAGAGTTCCTGAGAGGCGAATTTGTGATTGGATGACGCAAACGCAGCTTTCCAGAAGGGGACTCTTCGAACTTCACCAGCCATGGTTTTGACGAATTGGGTTCTCCGTCGACGAGTGCCTCCATGCGGTAGACTGTGATTGGGTAGAGCACGGCTTGGATTTCAGTTCCGGCAGCCCTGGCGCTTGCAGAGGAACAGGAAGAATACACGTGGGGCATTGGAGGAAGAATGGTTCGCTGAAAAGAGGGGATAGAGGAACGCCATAACTTACAGACGCTGCGAAAGCGGAGAACGCCGACGGAATTGTCAAGGCATTTTCCGATATTCGGCCATAACTCCTTTGGAAGATCAGACCAGTCCACCTTCTTCTTCCCCCTCTCCATTTTCTCAGCTTAGCACAGTGGAGTCTTAACGAAGATGTTTGTCTTTAATACTGTCGGGTCCCTTCACAAAAGCTAGATTTTGGTTGGTGTGCGAATTTGCCTGTAATCTAATTGGTCCAGATTGATAATTTCATTTTTTGGTATAAAAATCTTAGATTGATAATTTGTAAAATCTCAAGATAATTATAAAAAAGGATTTTATGAATTACTTGACCGGTGCTGATTTTTCCACTTCTTTTGTTTTTTCAATATTTTTTACTATAGCATACAATTTCCAATAAGGAATTGTAAGTAGACGAAAAAAAAAGTGGAGAAACCAGCTCCTTTTATTTAAGGTGTACATTGTAAATTTGATAATTAAAGTCTTCACATGATGATTTATCGGGAGCCTATAATTGTTTAAGAGTTTCAATAGTTAAATTTGGATTAGTGAATACAATTAAAAGTTTTCCCGCCCACCGCAACTTTGACTTCTATAAGTGGTTGACAGTTTTAACGGTTGGAGGTTTAGGATTGTCAATATTTATGAGCGGCTAACATTTTCAACAATTAGAAGGCCTATAAGCGAATGACATTTTCAACACTTGGATAGAATTCAAAATCTTACGAACGGCTAACAGTTTCAACAATCGAGGGGCCTATGAGCTACTGACATTTTCAACGGTCGGATATAGTTCAAAACCCATGAGTAACTAACTTACGAAAGCATATCCAATGGCTAAGAGTTTTGGCTCGCATAGGTGTCTTAAATAAAAGTCGATGCAATATAATACTATTTTTTTTTTTTTTTTTTTTTTTTGTTTACTAAAGTTTAGGGGGAAGATTGGCTATTCTTACCACCAACACCAGAATAAACCCACAACCTCAAGTCGGAAGGATTTATGCGTGGCACTCAATTGCCAGCTGCCACAGGTATGAATTTATATAGGAAATTACAAATTGCGCATCAATGAAGATTACTGACAGCGGGACTTGAACATTGGTAGGGCTACACAAACCAACCCTCGTTGGCTGCAATCTAATGCTTTGCTTAAATGCTTTTCTTTTTGTTGATCAACAAGAGATATTATTTTTCAATTTAAATAAATATCACTAATCAAGAGCTAGTTAATAAACTTAACTTAACCCCAATCATTGTGAAATCTACTCTTTTTTTTTAAATTGCATTGAAAAGCAACTCTTTTACCAATAAAGCAATTGGTATGATAAATATACCAAACTATTTGGTAAGGTGTTCAATAGACTATAAAATAAAAAAATAAAAATAAAAACTATTTGGTGTTGAATGGATTATGCAAAACAGAAAAGTAAAAAAAAAAGCATTGGAAAGCTTCTTTCTTCTTTTTTTTGGAACAATTTATGTGACACTTGTTGACATTGGATGGTCAATAATCTATTTACATAAAGCAAAAAGCAGAGAATGGTGAAACATTCAAAATACCGGAAAATGCCATTGGTTAATACAAACATTAAGAATTAAAATTATTAATTAAATGAGGATAATATGATAAATTCACACTTTTCATTTTAAAAAATTAAAATTGAAAGAAAAATCAGATAATGGATCCTATTTTTATGAAACACAACTACCCATTATTTTTTTTAATTCTAAAATAAATTTAATTTTTTTAAAAAAGGCTTCCGCACCTGCGGAGAGGCCAGTCAGTTAGAGCATCCACAATGATGCTCTCTATTTCTTAGCTAAAATTTAGCTAAAAATATAAGAAAGCTATTTTAGGAGCTCTCTAAAAAATTTCAACTCCAACCATACTCCCTAATTTGGAGAGTCATAAATGTTATAACTCTTTTTTGATTGGTCCATCTCTATTAAAAATAAAATAAAAAATAATTAGCATTAAATAAAGGTTTGAAATACTCATTAAATAAAAAGCATTAAATTATAGGGAGCCACTATGAGTCTTTTTCTCTCCTTAGATTGAGCTCTTAGAGGACTCCCTATTTTAGGAGGTGAATACGGAGTATGGTTAGAGTTGCATTTTTACAATTCCTCCCTAAAATTTGTCTAAGGAGGTGGTTTAGGAAGTCCTTTGTGGATGCTCTTAGTATTATTTCAATTCAAATCAATGAAAACAATTACCATCCCAGATCATCAATAATTAGAGTACCGATTTCACTGTTTTTTAATTTTTTTTATTTATTTTAATGTTGGGTCTCATGAGAACTTTAAAGCCCGGAGCAACTGCAAACCTGCAAAGCCCAGAGCAATTGAGTACGACACAAATTGAACACAATTGGCTAACATTGACCATGACCAGCGTTGGTGGCCATGGCTGAGCTGGTTTTTGGAAGGTTAACAATTAGTTTGAAAATAAGGGTAAAATACTCATTTTCATTATTACACACCAAGAAAATAGTAATTAGTTCAACTTACAGTTTAACTACATAATCGGTATGTATACATCCAGAATAACATTAACAGACTACAATATTAAACATTTGGATAAACTAGACTGATAAATTTTTACAATACTTTTACTGCAGATAATTTACAAATCACTCTTCATGAGAAATTGGATTTTCCACCACCTCTGAGAGATGCAGAAAAAAGGGTCTTCATTAGCAGTAAGCAAATTTCCTGTCAAGTGTTAAGAAATAATTAATATCCAAACAATTTTTTTCCAAGTGAAACACAATTAGTACAGAATATTCAGGGAAGAATTTTTTTTACCACAAAGCATACTTTCTAAAGTTTGGATGTGTCTATATGACAATCACTAATAACCAAAATCAGGATTAAAATGTGCTCTAGGGGAAATCTTTTCCTGAAGATTTGAGCTTCTAATCTACTTGCTAGACATTCGGTCAGCCACGAGGGTTTGTTATCCCGCGCATCCTACAATTCTTCGAGCTGAATGATCATATTCTTTTGCAGAAGGACTGCAGGCACTAACCTTGTTATTGATGCCAAAACTTGGATGCAAATACCCCAATTTTAAGTCTAGGAGAATATAATCTATTCAGAACAGCTAAGCTTGTATATAAAGAGCACACTCCATCCATACCCCCGCCATGAAATTTCATTCCTTCCTATTGCTTACTAACTATTAGATTGTGAAGATAAAACTTAGGTGAGAGTACAAGCACTTTTGTCTCATTGACTGGCAAGACAAGAAAATTTATAAGCATGTAATCAGTAAACATTCTAGATATACAGAGAGAAGTAAGGATGAAACATTTCATACTTACACTCAGCAATCAGCATGCAGATGGGGACATTAATCGGGGCTGAGCCAACTTGAGAGTGGCCATGGCATAAAACAAGCACGAAAAGGCGCTACATTCTTGATGCTGCCATCCTCCAAGTCGAACACACAACTGTGACATTTTCTTGCTCCTGATCCTGCTACTCCTGGTAAATGAGCATGCCTGTGGTCGGTGAACAAAATGCAATTTCCCTTCACTCTAGCAAAGCCTCTGGTGGAGACAGAGAAAGACCCATCATTGCTCAAAATAAAAACTTGATCTCCCAAGTTCTTCACATCAACCCATCTAGCCCATTCTTGATCCAGCTTATAAACTTTAAAATCAATAGCCTCAGGGACCGCAGCATTGGCAAAGAAAGGATTAGGAAGACCAAATATAACATTATTATCCTCAAGAAGGTACCTCTCGGATCTCTCCCTATCAAGGCAACGATCAACCACATAAAGATCACCACAAGACTCAACCAAATGCTTCTGCCCACCAAACCCACATAAGGGAGGCGAAAAAGGAACCACTTTTAACTCTGAACTCACCCAAAAAATTGTTCCCAATCTATCAACAACATAGCATTGGCCCTTATAAACAATAATATCATCATAGTGAGAGTTTTGTTCATCAAAATGGGTCCATTTCTCATCTCCGATTCTCAGAAAACCCAACTTGCCTCCATCAAATATCTTGAATATACCACAATTATCCAAATGGGTTTGACCGATGACCACCACTTTGTTCACACAAGCAATAATGACATTGTTTTGTCGATACTTGAGACTATACGATTTGCGCAATTCAACAACCCCAAAGTCCAATAAGTTAAAGTTCTTAGCTTTAGCGGGGTACCTGAGAGGCGAATTTGTGATCGGGTGAAGAAAACGAGACTCACCAGAATTGGACTCTTCAAGCTTCAGCAACCATGGTTTTGAATTTGATGAATTGGGTTCTCCGTCAACGAGTGGCTGCATACGGTAGACTGTGGTTTGGAAGAGCAAGGCTTGGAATTCAGCTCCAGCAGCCACGGCATCTGAGGAGAATTTGTGGGGCAGAGGAGGAACAGTGGTTTGCTTGAAAAGGGGGACAGAGGAACGCCATAACGTACAGACGCTGCGAAATCGGAGAACGTCGATGCGACTGTCGAGGCAATTTCCGATCGTCAGCCATAGCTCCTTTGGAAGAGCTGACCAATCCACCTTCTTCTTCTTCTCCATCTTGACTGACTTGGCAGAGTGGAGAACTAACAGCTAACGGCTGTGCTTATATGATGCCTGGCCACCTCCGCTTGTAGCTAGACAAATTTATTTATTTTCCTTTTAATTAGTCACATATTAGTATTATTTTACCTATTTATCCCTTTTAAAATAAAGTTGTTTTGAGAAATTTTCTTACATTAGGGTAAATTGAATATTTTAAAAAATTAACCACAACGAAATTTAAAACAAATACCATAAAACGAAGATCGTAATATTTGTAGTTAGATTTTGAGCAGATGTGAATCTAAACGCTTAATTGCATGAATTTATTTGTTGACAACTTATTAACACAAATATTGAAAAAATAAATACCATAAAACGAAGACCGTAAATCATATCTTCTTCGAAATGGAAACAGCTTTATATTAAACACTTGTTATAGTGGCATTTCAATCCAACACATACATGGATCAAAACTATAAACCTTCACAAAATCATCACACACACACATCAACTTATTTTAGGAAAAGGAAATGAGAAAATTCATGGGTGCCACAAATCTTAAACAGGAATAGCCGCCAACTGACTGAAATTCATGGGTGCCACAAATCTTGTCCCTGCGCCATAGAGGGTAAGTGCTGCTAGTCGGGAAGCATATTCAGTTGGATGATACATGTCCCAGAACAAATACTCATTCCGATTCGCACAAAGGTTGGGGTTCAAGGAATGCATGCATGGGATTACTCCATTTAACTGTCCATTTCCACAACAAGCTGATTGGGTGTCCTTGAAACCTAGCAAGTAGTTTAACAAATTTTTCTCTAATTAAGACAAAAAAATTTCAACATGATCTTCATTTTACTATTTGTCTGAAATACTTACCAAAGGCTAATGGGTCTTCAATGATGCTCATGGTCATCGCATAAGCGTTTCCGAGTGAGTATTTCATCCCTTTCAACTTTGAGCTCATTTTGAGCAGAAGATCCTCGAGTGAAATGAAAAAGGATTGAGCAAGCTTGTTTAGTTCCTCTCTACAAACACCCGACGTATTTGAAACACGTGCATGAGGGCAACATCCAATTGGAGCAACACTTATAATCCCAAATTTCCTAGCTCCCAGTTTGTACAAACCCTGCATTTAATCACAAAATCGTCAAATTATAAGCTTATTTGAGGGACACCCTTATCTAGTCCACTCTCCGAGCCGTCTATACCTCTAAATGGTTACGGTATGTGAATTGAAGATTTGCCATGTACAAGAACTCATCCACTGGATCAACTGAGGTAGAGGAATTGGAAGGAAGTTCCACATGGTCGAACAGGTCGTTGCTTCCGATACTAATGATGAACAAAGACTTGGCAAGAAATTTATCAGTTGCCTCGGGACCTATCAACTCTGTCAAATTTCCCCGGACTGTCGCAAATTGTTGGATTTGGTCTTCGAGTGGAACAACCTCGGTCTACAGTTAATTGCAACAACACAGATTATGAAAGAAATATTTATAATTTCGACTTCAAGGTTAATTAGTTTTAGATAATTTATGTATAAGACCCCAACGTTCAAACAATAATTAATTTTAATTTACAGTCCGACAACATAACCATGAAGTAAATAATATTGCATCCTTACATAGCTGAAATTTCCGGTGTCTTTGAGTATGCCGGATCCTCCTGAAGCAAAGTTCACCCCCTGCAGAATATCTCTTTTAAAAGTGGAGGTACGGTTGAGAATATACAAGAAGGGTGGCGGACTTCTCTGGTAGCCAAATAGTCTCGCTACAAATCAAAGTAGGAAAATCGTCAAAACCGTCTAATTAACTACGTTAGATATAGATAATCAGTTAAGTTGCTGCATGCATGGTATATATAAACAAATATTAATTAGTTAATTAATTACCAATATGGTCAGCGCAGTTAAGGCCATTGCTGAACCTCCCAGTAGGCACAGAATATGGAAAATCAATCCCATACGGGGCGAAATCAGCCCTCGAGGAACTTGATTGTAACAGATTGTTTGTACCAACATCAACAGTTGAGTCTCCAAAGATGAAAATAGTTACTGGATCATCTGCATTGGCTATGTGCCCTAGACAAAACAGAACCCACCAGAAGCAGAAGAAGAATGCACAAATCTGCTTTGCCATAATAACTAAGATCACTAGGGCTACCTAGCTGGCTTTATATATGTTGCCGGCCAAGGTTCCAGTTTAGCTACCTTTTCTTGATGTAGCTCTCGATTCATTCCATATTTATATTAGCGGAAGATGTGAAAAATGAACAACCAGGTGATGTTATGTTGTCACTGTCCCAGCCTCTATATTAACCAAGAACTTGATTTTTATGGCGGATTTGCCTAAAATTTGAATTTATGCACGTGTCTATATCTGCTCATAATTCAGCAACATATTGACAATCTAAAAAGTAAAAACTCTGATGTCTTCTCTTGGTATGAAATGTCTTCTGTTTCTCCTCGACTCCGCCTTATTGTTGTGTTTGTTCTTTTTCGTCTTTTAGGTTCCACTTTATTCCCTAGTTAGGAACGATAACCATGCGATTCTCAGCTTATTGTTATTGCTAAGAACGTTTTGTGTCTTCATTCGAAGATTCCCTTTAGTAATAAACTATATGGAAATTGGAATTTATAGATTCGGAATTAATCTTGAATATCCCATATTCAATACGCCTCGTAAGGAAATAAATAATCTTTTTATTTATCGGACATAATAAATTAAATATTCAAATTTACTTTTTATTTGTTTCTAAGCATCTTTTTGACAAAAATTAAGTTCTACACCAACGAGGTATAGTTAGTGGAAAAGATCATTGACTTGCAAACCAATAATATTTTTAGGTTCCGAATCTCTATGACACATTAACAATGTGTGAGAAAACTCTCATCATTTTTCTAAAAGATGGCAAAAAAAAAGGTTCTTATATATATTTAATTCATTTTTTTTTTTTTTTTTTTTTTTTTTTTTTTTTTTTTTTAACAAAAGGGATAGAAAGGAAAATTGTTGAGCTTTTGTGGTGTTTGTGGAGGTAAATGCTCACAGAAAAATAATTGATATTGGTGGATGTTTTGTTTCGTTGTTTTTGTAATAAGATTCACCAGAAAAAAGAAACCCAACAAATTGTTTGGCAAACTATTAGCAAATGTATAACTTCTTGATGATCCTCTTGACACCATACTTCTTCTTTTTACCTTTATTTTTAATTTTAAAGTAACATCCAATTTGTTGACCAGGTGGATGATTTCCCCGGCTGGCTGGGGCCCTGACTTGGGTTAAGACTAGCAAATGGGTTAAACAGACCTTGAGTGAACGGACCTCAGCGAACTATCTGGGTAGGGAGGTCCCTTTGATCCTTTACAACAGCATGCACACTCTAAACAACAATGGAGACTATCAAAAGAGAGGACAGAAGAGGGGGGGGAGGGGGGAGGAAGATACCAGTGTAGTACCAGCCAAATCCCCTCTAATGCTTAAGTTAGGGGCGGAGCTGATGATGTTCTTGGGGAGTGAATGAGTGGACCTTTCTAGAGATGGAGTTATTACCTTCGTCTCAGAAGGGTATTTATAGGGAAAAAAGGGTATCATATCTCCTTGAATCCAACTTAGAAGAGATCTTCAGCCACTCTCCGTGCTAGGATAGGAGAGTGACTGTAGGCGTCAGTCACCATGCTGATTTCCGAGGACCAGCAGTGGGATGACACTTGGACTGGATTTGAAGTGCATTAAGTGCTCCCTTTCAGTCTTGTCCAGACACCCACGTGATTTAATTTGTCCAGAGAAGCGATGTTCCCTAGATTCTCCAGTCAGCTTAGTTTGCCACTTAGGTTTGACTATGGGGGATCTTGGGAAATTTTGCCCGAGTACATGGCTCGAGTGGTTCTAACCGTGAGCAGATGCCATTCAGTTGACCTTGGTCTGGCAGGGCCTGTGATATGATCGAGTCGATAGGTTTGCTTTTGAGGTAGTGACCCGTCATGGTGAGTCAGGTCGTATCAGCATGCGGGGGTGTCTATAGTCTTCGCGGTATGGTCTATTAACACAATTCCATGATCAATTATTATAAAGGCGGTTTTGTTTTGTGTTTGAATCGGTCGGTTTGCTCAATATAGCTCAAAGATTTCTTGTTAACGAAATACAATTCTTCTGTTCTTCAACAATTATTTCTTATTGAACCACCCTTTGGTTGAGATCTTATTACACAATATATTTAAAATAGGCATGCCTTAAAAATAAGACTATGATCACAATTGCTTCAAGAGAGTCATGGAAGCTTAAGAGAGAGAGAGAGAGAGATATATATATATATATCATAGAAGTACCAATTGACCAAAAGTCATGGGTACCATGTACTCAGGATCATAAAAAACGGCTAGAGCAGCAAGATGAGACGCATTTTGTGTTGGATGATATTGGTCCCAGAACAAGTAGTCGTTGCGATATTTACACAGTTCCGCGTTTGGTGTACATGGCTCCTCGGCATTGAAATTTCCTTTTCCGCAGCAAGCTTTTGTCACCTCCTTAAAACCTACAAAAATTATTAGATTAGAATATACCCTAAAAATATACTTTGACAAATAAGTCGTAATACGATTTGAAAATGATAAATTAAAACTTAGTCCACATATTATAAATTGAGTGGATTTGTTACACCACTACATAACACATAACATAATGTAGCTTTATTTTAAGTCACACAGAAAAATTACTCTCACATTACCATATTTCTGAGGGTTTTTGAGAATGGGTGTGGTCATATTATAAGCATCTGCAAGAGCATACATCATCCCTTTGCATTCTGAGCTTAACTTAAGCAACATGTCATGCAGTGCCTTGTAGAACAATTGAGCATGCTCATTCATGGGCTCAAAACAATCCTCAGTTCGAGTAAAATTATGCACCAACGGGATGCACCCGATTGGTGCAACGCTAATAATCCCGAATTTTTTGGCTCCGATATCAAATAGATTCTGCAATTGCAAACAGTAATTAAGAATCTTAATTTATTTTGATTAATCTATAATGTAAAGAAATTAGAAGAAAGCATTGATTGTTACCCTTAAACGACTTTCATAAGTGGACATGAGAGTGGTGATGTAGGCTTGTCCAGGTTGGTTATAAGCAAAATGTTCTAAGATGTCATTGCTTCCAACGCTGATGAGGAAGAGGGACTCGGATATATTTGCCGCTGCACCCTCTTCACCTAATAATTCTGAGATCTTGTTGCGTACTATTGCAAATTGCTCCACCTGTTCTCCAAAGGGAATCACCTTTCCCTATGTGCATAATGCAACATAATTAATTTCGTACATATTTTTTCAGGACTATTATTATTTGGATCGCATTTACTAACCGTATTATTCCAGTCTCTCTAATAGTAGAGAAATTACAAACTGGAGAGAGAGAGAGAGAGAGAGAGAGATATTCAGCTTACCCATGGCCGTTTTCCAGTATCATCTAGAAGTCCAGATCCTCCTGAGGCGAAGTTAACTCCCCTACTTAGCAATCTGATCATCCTTTTGGGCAATTGCTTATTCTTGTCTAAGAGAGAGAGAAACGGTGGCGGGCTCATCTTGAAACCCAGAAAGTTGGCTAATTAAAACCACACCAACAAAATGAAAAAAATCAATATAATTAACAGATTAAAAAACCCAATTGAAAACTTACAAAAACAAAGTTAAATAGACATGGCATAAAATCAAAATTATATATACCAATATAATCAACAATGTTGAAGCCGTTGCTAAATCTGCCTGTTGGTATAGAGTGAGGGAAATCAATCCCATTATAAAGGAAATCAGCCCTTGATCTACACTCAGACTCAGACAAGTAATGGTTGGTCCCAACATCAACAGTCGAGTCACCAAAAATATAAACTCCTGGCACACTTGGCTGATAGCATTCATGCAAACCAAGCATGCCCAGATACAACACAATCAACCAAACAGAAAATACTGATCTCAACCCTTTGGCCATAGCAATAGCTTTGTATATTCTGAATTAATATACCAGAGACCAATATATATATATATATATATATATTGCTACCTCGGATTTTGCAAATTTACAAGACAATAAGTTGAGAAAGAAAGTACTAGAAGCAGTGTTTGGGTGGGGCCATAAGATGTTTAAGGGTCATTGTCCTAAGTTTTTTCCAGTCTGGCTAGAAGCCGCATATATTACAAGGAAATTAATTAAAACAATGCTTGGTTTAGTTTTGGAGGCGGAATTTTCGAGTTTGTGATTTAACCCGGAGGGGGACTCACGATTGCGACAGCTTAGGATATTCCATGGGAACCGTCTGAATCTTTGCTTCCTCCCTTGTTAAATGTGATTTAACCCATTTTTGTTCTTTAATTTATGCCATCTTGATACTCTTTAGAGCATGTCCACTCCAAAAGGCTAAGGCTAAAGTAAAGGCAAGACAATGGCTGCTACTATTCACGTGAATAATGGCAACATTGCCTTTTTTGGTTCCACCTCAAAAGGCTAGGGCAGGGGCAAGAAAAAAAAAAGAATATGCAACAAAATATAAACTTGTTATGTATTTATAGGGAAAGTGAATAAAATTGTTATGTATTTATAGGGAAAACATCCATAATTTTGTGGTAAATTTTTTTTTAAAATGATTTTTTTTCCATTTTTTTCAAATTTTTTTGAATTTTTTTTGACTCGTTGATGTTAACGCCTTCGGGCTAAAGCCTAGGCAAGATCTGCCATTAGGCTTGCCCAGGCTGGTGGGACCCAGGGCTTGCCAGGGCTGCTTCTTCTGCGCTGAAGGTCCAAAACCCATCAACGGGGCCTTTAGCCAGGGCAAGAGGCCCTGCGCTGGAGGTGCTCTTACAGTTGCATGCGTTTCGCTTTCTCATAATTCTCTCCGAGACAAGTTTATATACATCAACGGTTGACATTTGTCTACATTGTGTTGATAGATGGATCCTCCCAAACTACCATCCATCTACAATTTTCTAGACTACATGGGGCCGAAGCTGAAGGCCCAACAAATAAAGGGAGTAGTGCAGCCCAAACCCTAATCTTTGCTAAGGTTAATTGCAAGCCTTGAACCAACGGAGTTCTCTAGCTACACGTATATATATATATATATATATATATATATATATTTATATAGTGTGATGATTTGGCTTGGGGATATATATATATATATATTTTATAGTAAGAGAATAATTATTGAAATTGAATGATTGGTGGAGCAGGTCGCGTGCGGACAGAGGAGTTGAGGGTTGGATCGTGTATTTGTGGACTGCTAGTTTTAGTTAGCTGTATGGGAGTAGGACCTGTCGGTGCAGTGAGTATCTATCTAACTTGTTCCGTTCCAATACAAACCATCAAACTTGTGTGGTCTCCTTTTATGACAGGTTTTTCTTTGCTTGAGTTATTCAATTTATTGTTGATTTTTTAGTGCAAAAAGTTTCATGTTATTCGTATGTGATCCTTCGAGAATAGTGTGTATTCGATATTCATGGTCGAATCATGCGTAATTTGTGTGTACAAAACTAGAAGGAATTACACTATAGATGAACATTGCAACAAAATTTTAATTAAAATGAGAAATACATAAATTTGATATTGATCTAATTTCCCTTTGAATTATTAACTTGCCATTTTGAGAGAACTAGTGATTCATCATTCAAGAGAAAGTATAAATATTCCTACTACATAGTTTAATCTATATCCATGTTTCACGTTCTTGAGTGTCAACAAAAATATTTGTGAAAAAATAGAGTGGTGACTTTTTATATTAAAAGGCAGTGTGAATTCCAAATGTTTGATTCCTAACATTCAAGTTTAAGAACGAAATCAACTAAAATTTAAACACAAAACAGATTAAATTAGGAGCTAAGCTAAATGAATACAGTGAATTCTTACAACAACCTTTGACATACTAAACCAAGCCTATTTAGATTGCATTTGCTATATATTTCACTCTTCAAAATCCGAGTTTGATCCTCATTTCCGAATGTTTTGTTTATAAATAAAAAAATTTACTATTTCTTTTCATATACATAAAAAGTAAAAGGCCATATAAGAGTTGATATCCAATGAAAATTCTTTATAAATAAATAAAAGACTACTTATAGGTGTGAGCGCAGTTGGAGAAGTATTATATTATGAAGGTTTGTAAAAAGCTTAAAAATGGGATTAAAACTTCCATGGACTTACAAGTGATGAGAGAGAGAGAGAGAGACAGAGAAAAAAAGGTACGGGAATAGATAGGGGTAAGTTTTCTAAAATGGGGGTGTTGTGGTATGCGCAATACGCACATGACAAATCGAAGTGTTAGAGACGCAGAGGGGCAAAGGGCTGAGGCGTATAGCTACGTATTGAATTTTCCAGTTTCTGTGAAAAGTGAACACGCTAATTTCTCTATCCAAATCCAAACCCTTCTCGCAGGCCCGTTGCTCTGCCAGTTTAACCACTTGGGTTTTCCAAGTTCCATCACTTTCTCGAGAAAGTTCAATTTTTGGAGCGAAACAAAGCGTTTCCCTGGAAACCCAGTTTGTCAGAATACTGACATGTAAACAGTTTCTCGTTTTCTTTATAAACTTCGTCTGATGACGATCGTGAACGTGTGCCGCTCCTTACGAGCATCGTCGTGTCGACCATTGGACCGATGCTACCGCTTTCTTCCTTGTCTCTCCGATCCCGGTGAGTTTTTTTCTTTAATTTTCTTATTTATTTTTTAAAAAAATCGAAATAGAAAACACAATCTGACTGTTTCGGTTCAGCTACTTAGTTTGGCAACCTCAATTGAGTCTAGAATTTTACTTTTTTATGCGAATAGTAAGACTTTTCCCTCTTATATTATTGTTTTAACAGAGCTTGACTTTTTTTCATGATGATTATTTTTTTTTTTTTTTTTTTTTTTTTTTTTTTTTTTTTTTGTTTGTTTGGTACTTGGGTTTCAGCTCGGAGGTCTGCTTTGGGTTTAAAAGTTGCATTGGTGATGCTACATCTGATATATGTGGGCATGCTTTTTCTGTTTGATGGAGGATTGATAGAGAAAACTAAAAGAGAACCATGGTATGCTAATGCTTCTATACAATTATTTATTCTATATTTGAGTTGCATTTCATTTTGTGGTTAGAAGCCTAATACACATTTGATAGACAGACTTGGCTCATTTACGCGAATGGGTACTCTAGGACTTTTAACTGGATAGGTCCTTCATAGTATCTTAGATAGTTGCATAATTGAAGGGGAAACCATTTGATTGGAATTTTCAATTTAAGATCACAGAGTGAACCTCATCATGTATGTAAGGATTGGTGTCAATTAGCGAAAGTCAAACTGATAAGCCAGTGCCTATTGTTCAGCAATGTGTGCATTGCATTGATGGTAAACATGTACAAGTTATTTATCAATGTCTGTCTGAACCTTTTTTTTTGGTCGTAACAGTCTGTCTGAACTAATCGTGGAACTTATGGAATTTCAGTATCAATGAACTTGAATTGGGTCACAAATGACTGAGTCGTCATATTTGAAATGCTCTACTAGTGTTTGCTGTATTAACCCCAACCCCTCCTTACTATGTCTTTCTTTTCTGTTATTTTCAGGTATACTGCTATATATTTGGCTCTTTTTGTTGCCACATTGGTCCAATACTTTGTTACGTCTGCTTCTTCTCCTGGGTAAATGTCAATGCACTTAACCTGCTTTAAGATTAAATCTGTTTTAATATGATCAGAAAACTTGATGCTTGTGGTCCAATTTCCACTCATTGTGATTTTTGTAATTTTAAATTTAGCTTTGTCCTTGATGCAATGAGGACAGTAAATGAGTCAAATACAATTTTCAGAAAGGCGTTACTAGCCTCAAAGTAAGTGTTTCTTTCCTTTGTTTACTTTTGTTTTGTTTCTTTTTTCATATGATAAACAGTATAGACACATATCTTAAAACTATGACGTGAATTAATTCTTTGATGTCATCTTACTGTCTCATTTTTAAAATTATAATGTTTAAGCAAAGACAGCCTGCTTCAAGCAAAAATGGAAGCGTGGTTGTGACAGTGGAAGGGAGTCAGATGGCAAGAAGTCTTCTTGGAAGTAATGCAACATCTTGGACCAAACTTGTGATGGACTTGTATCCCCCTGGAACATCTGTTCGGTATGCAATTATTTTATAGAGCAGTATCCTTTTGGTTGTACTATTTCAAAGTGATTATTTGGTGTTTACGCATCAGTATGTGCATCTCATTTTAGTTGTGTTTTGGTTCTACATACAATAAGTTAGGGAAGCTGAGTTTAATTTGTTTCGGTGCAAACTTTTTCTTTTGAATACAACATCAAATGAAAAGTTAAGTAAAAGAGCTGTCAGCTTAGACTAGTCTTGATGATTCACAAATATTTCTGCTGACTGCTTCTTTTTGGTTATTGCAGAAGTTTGACTTGCTCTTACTGTAATGTTGAGCAGGTAGTACCATCTCAATTTTACATATTCATCTTTTATGGTGGTTTACTTTTTATCTGTTGCCAACATCTTTTTAATAAGGAACTAAACTTTAAAAGAAAGGAATACTCACTAGGAAACACAGAGAAGATGTCCATCTTAGGAGAGAGAAGAAAAAATGTTATAATTAAGCAGCTTGGTGTGGAAACCTCTGTCCTTAAATGCTTTTGTTATAGACTAGGTGAATTGATTGTCAATATTTTATCCTAAAATGTAAAGCAGTGAGAGAATCTATGGACTCATGATGCGTCATTAACACCATCAGTTTCCCTCCTTTATCATTGCACAAGGTTCTTAAACTTCATCTATTTTGCATTAGACCTTGGGACAAATGAGTTTGCACCCCTGGAGACATTAGAGCATTCAAATTTATATGCTGCTTACTAGACAAGATTCTAGTTGCAATCTTCTAGATATCCATTGCCCCTATTATTCAGGTTATGCATCAAGATTCTTAGCATATATTTTTGACCTCGGGACAGATGATTTCTTGTGCAAATTTTGATGATTATACATTTTGCTTTTAACTTATGTGCAGCCTCCCAGATCAAAGCACTGTCATGATTGCGACAAATGTGTTCTCCAATTCGATCATCATTGTGTTTGGCTTGGAACATGCATTGGTCTGGGTAATCATTGTAAATTTTGGTGAGTATGCTTTTCTACTCGTATAAAAGCTGGCTACTGTAATCTGCATTCTTAAGTTTTGCTATAACCAATAGGCAGAGATATTCCATGTTCTGTTTGTGCTGTGACAGGCTAATATGAGTACCGGTTGTTGAATTTAGAATTGCAGTTATGTAGATTAGTTAAATTGTTTCATTAACATTTGTATTCCTTCTCCAAATTTTGCTTAGTTTTTCTTTAATAAAAGGAATATTCTATCTTTACTAAGTCATGTTATTTTGAAATGGATTCACCTTTTTAAAAGAATTTTATTCTAATTAGGTTGGACTATTCTTCTTGTCGGTGGTACTAAAAGTTCAAGAAATTCTAGTATTATATAGTTTTGAGTTTCTTGACTGGTCCTTTGTAAAATAGTTGGTTATACTCAGATAGGCAATCAGTTCTTTTTAGTTCTGCACGTAAACTTGTATAAGTAGATTTCAAACTTAAAAGTCCTAATCAAGAACTTTTATGTCTTTTGGTCTAAATGTTGTAGGTGGTACATTTGTGAAGAGACATCATTGTGCCTTTGGACTGGCATCATGTACATCACATATCTGAAGGCTAATATATCAAGTGCTTGGTATGGTATCTTGTATGAGGTCTTTATTTTATGGGAACGATTTCTGTTTTGCCCTTGTCATTATGCAAGTAATGTCCAAGGGGTTTGCTGCTCTATTAAAATCATACCACATAGAAGAAGATTGAAGAGAAAAACAAAAACAGAAAGGAAAGGTCATTGATTGGATATTAATGTATTACTGTGGTCCTTTGTGGTTTCCATTATGAAGTTTTATCTGACTATTTAGGGTTTTCTTTTAAATTGTAATTTCTGTCTTAATTTTGATCTGAGTTTGGATGGGAATGTTATAATTGTCAGGTGGAAGGATGCTATTGTGATATTGCTGTTGGTTACTTTGTCAATTTCCATGATCTTTCTGCTTCTCCTGCTGCTATTTCATAGGTAAAATTTGTATATTTGACATCAGCTTCAGGCTTCTTAAATACAAGACCTTTCCTCCTATGCTTGACATCATGATCATAATGTCAATTTTGTAGAAGTACCGAACTTTAATGCTTTCACAGATAACTCTCGCTGGTTTTTTCTGTTATGATGTGTTCACTAGTAGTTTTCTAGTAAAATAAATTTAAAGAATTGGGATCTCTTTCTTGCTGTCTCTTTCCGCTCCCCCACTCCTGCTTTGTTATTTCTAACCGAGTCTTTTACCTTTAAAGCATAACTTCAGTGTATCAGTTGAACATTAATTAATTTATTATTTTCTTGCAGTTATCTTGTTCTGACCAATCAGACTACCTATGAGCTTGTAAGACGGAGGCGCATCCCATATTTAAGGTTAGTTATTTTCTTTTATTTTCTACCATGTAGTATTACTTACTGAAAATAACTAAACTTACTAGTCATCATATGTTGAAAATATGCGGTGTCATATTATATACTTTGGTATTGATTCATTAAAGAAATATAGGTGAAAATATAACATTTGGTTAGACTTGTCAATTTGTTCTACAAAAGTTTATCTGAGTAGACTTTGCTGGGAGCATTGTAATGATGTACGAATTAAACTGTTTGACCACTGTGCTTTTAGACTTATTTCTTCTTACTTTGTTTCAATTGACAGAGGAGTTCCCGAAAGAGTTTACCCTTTCAGTAAAGGAGCATGCAGAAATTTATATGAGTTTTGCTGTCTTCGAAGCAGTAAGTACCGAATGGAACGATTACCCACAGCTCAGGAACTTGAAGAAAAGTCTAGACCTTACACCTTTTGTGATGTTGTAACCTGTCGTTGTTGTTGCTGACATTGTGAGCAATTGTATCATTAATTTGTATTTTTTCTCCCCCTTGAATTTATTGGGAGCACCATCTGGAGGGATATCTGCCGATGCATTTAAAATATGGCAGCCACAGATGGTTAAGTTGCAACTGGTTGAGGCTCTACGGTTTGTACTTCATTTTAGGCTAAGATCTTTAGGCTTGGTATACAGTCGGTTTTTTACCATATTGTTTTTGCTGGATAAAAGATTCTGTATTGTTTGTTCGTGTGTCAATTTATATACGTGGCTGTGCTCTTCCAATAAATTACCGAATTTACTCTCTTCTAGCGCTGCAATATTTGCTGAAAGGACTAAGACTAGGTATTCCCACATATGATATACGGACTGCATATCTCACAAAGGTGATCCATCTACGCAAGTGGAATTTTCTCTGAGATATGATCAACAATGAGATTCATAAATATCGTATAACATGCTGCAAGTTTTGTTCGTAATTATTAATTCACATGTTATAATATGAACTCGCAATAGGTTATACTTTAAAAATCATGACTTCAAAGCATCTGGTGCTTAAAAATTCATTCAATCGCCTCCACCCTTCAAAGGTTTTTACTTTTAAGTATTGGTTGGTTGAAATGGTATCGTACCATCATTTGACAATGGTATCGTACCATCAAGTACTTGAAAATTATACCCTCCCTCCTCACCTAATATTTATTCTGTGAGCAAATGACCAAAGCGTAGAGCATGAAGTTTCTGTGCGTCCACACCACACCAGATGAAGCATGGGTCAAGGTCATCATGTGAACATTGAATTTGAGCCACCTTCTGAGACTGAATAAAGCTCGTTGAACAATAAAAGCATGGCATACTTGGTAACTAACAAGTTGCCCCTATTTGGCCTTGATATTGTGCCTTTGCCGTCACGTTTGAGTTTCATAAGACTTTTGGGTTAAATGATGAATGTGGGAGTTGATTTTAGAGAACAAAAGGCTTGCCAGTCAGCAATGAGGCACCAATCAAAACTGCCCAAGTTTGCCAAAAGTTTCTTTTCTTTGAATAATTGCATAAGTCCACATCCTAAGGGGAGATATTTCAATTGGCTGCACTGTTATTAGCTCTTTGAAGTTTCAACTAACCAACTTATGAGTGTGATCCTTTTCCTTTTATTTGATTAGAGTGGCAGCCTAGAGGGTGGTCCATTGTTGATGGCATTTTCACTTCCTTTTGGATATTTTGCCATCATTATATGAGAGAGAGAGAGAGAGAGAGAGAGAGAGAGAGAGAGGAGAGAGAGAGAGAGAGAAGTATATGAAGCTTCAACATGATGATTTTACTTAAACTGATATTACACACACCTAAAGATTCTAGAATGTCAACTACAACATTTCCAAGCCCAAAAGAACAAAAGAGATTATATATATAATTGTGTTATCTTTTCCTTTGAAACGCAGCAGCAGCAAAGCAGGCAGCAAACTACTACTGTAAACACCTTTTTTTTTCTTCACAAAAGAACAATAAAACAAATTAATAAGTGTAAAATTCACCCTTATCCTCAGATTACTCCCCCAAAGTTTCCTTTTTTTGGTGGTAATTGCCTCATTAGTGAGGCTTGAAGAATTGGACTTTAATACCAGTATCAATGACAACATACACACCAGCTGCAATCATGAAGCCACTCAGAATCATCCCCAAAACCCCAAGAGAATAATTGAGACACCACATTGGGCTATACTTCTTAGGCTTGTGAATCTTGATCCACATGAAGCAAGGGTAGGCGAATGTCACAGGCAGTGATATGCCTCCAATCAAACCAGCCACACTTCCCAAAAATGGAATTGCCACGGCAAAAAAGAAGACCCCAAAGCCAAACATGGCCCTAGAAATGCACCTCAGCCACCATGGCACTGGCTTCTTCATTCTGCTGGTGTATTTTGACTCTGCGTCATCAAACATTGGCATGCCATAGATTTGGAATGAGCACGCTGCATTTATCACCACAAACAAGCTTGTGAGCCCCAAAATGGATTGTGACACATCTTTTGAATGGTATTCGTAAAGAGCTTGAAGCATCCCTCCATTTGCTGGTATCTGTAAATCAGAACAAAAACAAAATTAAATTATATATTAAAATCTTTAATTGGGCTTATAATTCAAGTTTAGGGTTTTGTTTGATTATTTATGATTAGGGTTGCTTACCAAGTGACCATAGGCCCAGTAGCCTCCAATTGCAAGGGGAAACAAGCATACTGCAATGAGTGTGTAGGACACTTTAACTCCTCTCCACATTGGCACATGTGAGGGATGTTTCTCACTGGAAGGCATGGTGGCCTGCAACACACACCATTAATTCACAAAGTTAAGTCTATGATTGTATCAAAAAAATGAAAAAGGTTAGGCCTATGATTGAATAAAATTCACAAAGTTCCAACCTAGGCGATGGTGATGATCATTATAAGTGATGCTTGATGGCCCCCCACTATTTTTATTTATTTTTTATTTTTTATTTTGATGGACTGATATATATATATATATATATATATATATATATATATAAAGCTAATAGAAGAGTCATAATTGGTCATGGTGGGTTGTTAATTAAATATTCAGCTAGGAAAACTAAAACTATTGGAATAGTTGTACTGCATCAAGGACAGTGTCTAAGCAACCTGTTATTTTCTAATCTTTGACAGTTGGCTTCTTGTTCATGGGAAGATGTTCAAGTGGTCAAAATTGTCACTTTGTATTTGTGAAAACAATATGAAGTCTCCTATTCTGGCCTGGCTTCCTAAGCAAGGGGAGGAGGAGGAGGAGGACTTAGACTTATTGTTAGGAAATATGCCTGTCCTAAAGGAAAGCGTGCATAGACTTGTGCACATTTAATTTGTTAGGTGTCAATCACCGACTTCAAAAACAATAAAAGTTGATATTCTTTGACCTAGTTTGCAGGTTCTCACAGGCCAAGCATTGGGAGTTGAAAAAAAACAAAAATCAATTTATGCTATGGTAAAAAATAATTAAATAATTACCCAGATGGAAATTATCAATTACCTGAATCTCAAGGATAAGATTGTGGCCTCTGAAGGCAAAAGCAATGATCCCAATTGCATTTAGCACACCAAACACCCTTGCAATCTGAGTGCCAGCTCTAATAGGATCATAAGAAACACCAGGAAGCCTCCCTTCTGCTACAGAGGTCACCCAAATCAAGGTACAATACCCAATTGCAGTGATAGCACCAATCAATGAGACACCAGCTATGGAGTTCAAGTTAGGCAGCAGAGACAGCACCACAGCTGCACATGTAAAAACCAAGTACCACTCAACTGTTGTTAATGGCTTGGAAGCGCATGTAGGGCACACAATTTCGTAGAAGAGCTTGGAAGTTCCTCCACCAATGACTATCAGAGCCACACAGGTTCCACCAGACAGATACATGATTGGGAACAGGCCTAGCCAATTTGCAATTTTGTCACCTACAACAACATAGCCATTTTGTACCATTAGTTCCTGTCCAGAAATTTGAATAAAAAAACTTAATGAAAATAATCAGTCATAATCTTAATTACCATAGGTGAGACTAAACAGTTGCATGTATCTGCTGTAACGCATCCCAGTTTCTACATTCTCATGGAGATGAACCAGTAGCCATAGAGTGTAAAGCTGCCATATGAATCCTAGAGTCAATAGAATTATACCCCATGCCCTGCAATCAATCACAAAAGAGAAAAAAGAACCATAAAACTATTAGCAACCACATAATAGGCAAATTTGTAGCTGTTGAAATGACTTAAAAACACCATCTCGCCAAACAGTCTAACGTGTTATATTGTCATACTCTGTGTCTCAGTTATTACTTAGTGATACTACGATCCAGATTGATATTCTGACAACATCATAAATTTGAAAATGAATTCTGGGTTTTTGGGGGGCTTACCATCCAAGAACTGTGAAAGCCACAGGAAGCACCAAAGCCTGGATACCAATCCCAGAAGAGAGTGTGTGAAAAGCAGCATAGTACTTGTTGCCATTTCTAGACTCAGTGATGGGAAGCCAAGCATCCTGAGGGTCAAGCCTGGTCATCTTGAGAGCCTTCCTCACAGGGCTACCCAAAGGAGTGATGAACCTTGGGGTCAAAGACATCCTTGGGGTTCTAATTGCCAAAGGGGTCTTGGGGGCCTTAGCCACAACTGCACCTTCAGCTCCAGGTTGCTGGTCTGAGGCTCCATCAAGAAGGGGTGATCTGGACAAAGATGGTGAGTTGTACTGAGAAGGAGGACAAGACACTTGTGCCTGTGGTGCCACTGAAACCTTTGGTGCCACAGTTGCTGGTCTTGGTGTTATAGGAGCTGAGCTAATCTCATTTGCTTCCCTACTCATCTTGAGCTTTTCTCAATATTTTTTGTTGCTCCTTTGCTCTCTAGTTAGCTAGCTCCCTCTGCTGCTCTGTGTGTCTTCGTTAGAAAACCCACATAGCAGCATATATATATATAGTGTAAAGATTGAAGTAGGTGCAAGGAAATAGCTTGGTGGGTCTCGTTCTCAAACTGCCATAGAGTCTACAGAAAGGTGTGTAATGACTAATAAGACTTGGTTCGTTTTAGACAGCTTTGTACGACCAGAAGAGAGAGAGGCAGAAAATTGGTTGGAAAATAATTAAAGCATTTGTTTGACGGGCAATTTTGGCTGCCTGTTTTTCTTGCTTTATGCGTTTGAATATTTTACATGGAAAAATATATAATATATCTTATGTAAGAATTTGAGCTCCTTTGTTTGTGCATAGATTGTAGATTAAGATATATTTGAAAAAAATATGGTGAGTTGTGAGAACCTCTATTTCGTAATTTAGACTAACACTTGAATTAAATTAAATAAAAAAAATAAAAAAATAGCAGACATAAATTTAGCTAAGTTTGTTAGAGCATCCACAATAGGCTCCCTAAATCATCTCCTTAGACAAATTTTAGGGAGAATTTGGAAAAATACAACTTCAACCATGCTCCCTATCCACCTCCTAAAATAAGGAGACCTCTAGGAGTTCTTAAATTTGAGGAGAGAGAAAGAACTCTTAGTGGCTCCCTATAATTTAAGAGTAATGCTACACTTACCACATTTTTATCTCACATTTCTATATCACATGATGTGGCATGTCTATATTATATGACACATCAATTAAATCAATGAAGTGTATTTTAATTAAGACAATTAGAAAAATAAATACTTGAACAAATTATAAAAAAAAATAAAATATTAAATAATTTTAATTGATGTGGATGTCCATTCCAGCTGCCACATAAGATGGTGTAGGGATGTGGTATACAAATGTGGTAAGAGTAGCATTATTTATAATTTAATGCTGCTTTATTTAATGAGTATTTCAAACCTTCAATTAATGTTTATTATTTTTATATTATTTTTTAATAGAGATGGACCAATTAAAAAAGAATTATAGCATTTATGACTCCCTAAACTAGAGAGCATGATTGGAGTTTAAATTTTATAGAGAGCTTCTAAAATAACTTTTATATGTTATTAGCTAAAATTTAGGTAAAAAATACAGGGTTGTGGATGCTCCTAAAACGAATGTACTACCACTCCCAATTTCGAATCTCGCTCCAATAGTTAAGATTTTTTTTTCTCTCTGAAACAGGGGGATAAACCCCAAGAAACCAACAACTACACAATACTAATCAAAGAGCGCTTCACAACCCCCAGCAAATCAAGTAGTTATGATTATATTACAGTATAATATCTCTTACATAAAAAAAACATAAATTATAGATTAAGATATATAATTTGCATAAGTTCATATTGAGTATGATTTGGTCAACGTATTACTCCTGAGGCAAAAAGGACCAAAGACGACAAACGGCTATTATTTAATTCTAGAAGCATTGAATTTCAGACTACCATTCTAGCATGTGGATATTTTGGAAATATAAAAATAAAAATAAAAATAAAATAAAAAAAGGCAGAAAAGGGAATGCAAGTTGTTCTCAAAGATGTGCATAGCGGTCAACATTAGTGTTCTTTTGGCATTGGATTTGGACTTTCTTAGACCCCCAAAAATGAAAGTGAGAAAAAACAAAGTCTCCTCGTCACTTTCTTGGCTTAGACCAGCCAGCCATCAGAGACATTAAGGGAATGAGATTACATTACTGGACAACTCCAATGCAAATGACTTAATTATTATTGTTCACTCACAAAACTATCATGCTATTTTTTTAAATGATACGTTATAGTAAAATAAACTGATAAGATTCAAACACGAATAACATGATTTCAACATGATGAGTTTTGTCAGCATGTATTGTAATTTGTAGACTGAGTGAACTTTTCGTGTTATGATATAAACTTGATTAATGGATAATAAGGGAATTCACCTTGAGCTATGTGTGAGTTGACACTCTAACTAATTTGCTATTGCTTTAGAACAAACCTATTTTTTTTTTGTTGCTTAATATCAAATGTGATACTTTTCTTCTAGCTTGACAAAATATGGGATTAGCATAAAAATATCACATTGCATTAGAAATATTTGCTGCAAAGCAGCAGCGATGAAATTTTTCAATGGGCGAGTGTTGAATTTTGCATCAAAGTGAGCACTTCATGCACTTTCTCTACATCATTTGGAGGGGAGAAAAAAGTAGTGTTTATACAATAATAATAATTGGACAATCTTTCCCTTCGATTCAAACTTTTGAATTTCTAGAAATTTGATGATAGAAATTGAAATAATACAGCCATCGACCATCACCACCTGAAGTCAAAATAGCGGCCATTTAATAAGTTCTTATCCTAACATATATCATCAATTAACCGTTTGATGCGACTTGAGAAATGAAAATAAAATAATAACAAAAAATTATTTTCTAAAGAAAACAAAACAAAAATAAGAAATAAGTAAATAGCTATCACCATGTCTTTCTTACATATAATAATGTAGTGATTTTTCATGAAAAATCACGTGTAATTGCTACTATTTAGCAATCCGCAGTCTCCATCCATTACTTTATTTGCCCCATAATTAATGGGGTAAGATCCACGACAAATCACTTGGCCTCTAGCGGGCACAACAAACCCGCCATTTCTCGAAACAAATTGCATCTAGTCGGTCTATTCGCTGCCCATCTAGTTTAATATTCAATTAGTTTTCACTTCTCCATAAAAACATTACTCACGTTGCATTTAGAATAGGGAGGTGAGTCTTAGTAAGACTTTTAAGTTTAATCATAATTGTAAGTGAAAAGAACAAATGTTAAGCCCAAGAATAACTCGACTGAGGAGGTACCGGTGGAAAAATGAGTTAGAAATAAGATAGATTTATGATTCGAGTATTTCATTATAATAAAAAAATTTCATGCGAACTCGACATTGAAGTCAACAACAACAATCCAAAACAAGATGCAGCTCGCTTTGATAAGTTAGCTCGTTTTGGTATTGTATTTTCTAATTGTGAATTGAAGAATTTTTCAGTGTGATCGTCACATCGACACATAATATTATCAATCGAACTAATGTTAAAATTGGCCCCCAAAAAGGGTCCAAAAGGCTCTCAAGCAGTTGGGTATGCATTGTGATGCAATTACAATATGAAACTGGGTTAATTCTATTATAGCGTTTATTTTTCACCTATCAATATAAATGGGCTATCAGACCCAAAATTATGAATGGGCTAGTACATTTACACTTGGGCCTTTACCCATTTTGACCCGCCTAAAATGACACCGACATTAGAAACTCAAGGATCAATATGTAATTACACAAATCTATCCTTAAAAACGCAGCAACAAAAACCCTAGCGCTCGCTTCTTTACCGCCGTGCCGTTTTCTTGTCTTCTTCAAGCTCTCTAATTTTCGCGATCTCGTCTGCAAATACAAACACCACCCCAAAGCTCTTTCAAGCTCTTAGTAAGAAACCATGGGTGAGCTTAATTCCTCTCTGCCCCTCATCTCACACTTTGCGCTTCATTTGATTCACTGTATTTTTCGTTCTATTTTTTAATTAATATATATGTATTTATTTTAATTTTCAGGAAAGGTTCATGGATCTTTGGCTCGCGCTGGTAAGGTGAGAGGCCAAACTCCCAAAGTGGCTAAGCAAGATAAGAAGAAGAAGCCCCGTGGACGCGCCCACAAGCGCATGCAATACAACCGCCGATTCGTCACCGCTGGTAATACCACCGCTTCATGATTTCCCTACCAGTATTTTGAGCCTTTTTAACTTCCTGAGACTGACTTAGTTGGTGATTATTGTTAATTCTTTAAATGGGTTTTTGAGAAACTCGCATTTGGATTTTGATGCAATTTAAACAATTTTAGTGAGTTTTGAATTGATTTTAAATGGGTCTTTAGGAAATCATGTTTTATAAGAAACCCATGTTCGGATTTCTGATGCAATGCCTTGTGTGATGTGTGATTGTTGTTGCAGTGGTTGGCTTCGGCAAGAAGAGGGGACCCAACTCATCTGAGAAGTAGACAAAGCTTTTGAGAAGATGAGAAGCAATTCGTAGATTAAGAAAAAGGCTTTATTTTTATTTCTTTTTATCATTATGTCATTATCAATTCAAGACCCCCAAATGCTGGTTTGGTAGTTCGTAGAGAGATTTGGAAGTATTTTTTGGAATTTGTGCTCTATTTGAATTATCAGTAATGTGATTTTGTTGCTGGGTTTCTTGTTTCAAATTATTGTTGGCATGGCTGTTGATTTGACTTAAGTTTCTGCGAAGTTAGAGTTGGATCATAATGGTAAATGAACTAAATCTCTAATTCCAGATTTCTTCGTTCTTAACTAATTTGAGATGAGAGAAGAAAAAGTGTAAGAGCTTGAGAGTGAGTCAACAGTGAAATGGAAAGGTCCTTGCCCTTAGAAGTTCTCTAGCTCTGCAATTTACAACTTTCTACAAGAAAAATCCCAAATCCCTTTCCCTGCTTGCCGCCCAAGATTGAAACCCGAGGGTATGTAACCCACAAAAATGATCTCAAATCCTCATTTGACAAAGCATATCAGGTGATGAACTACTTTTTCAGAACTTCTTCGTTCTTAACTAATTTGGGATGCTTCGTGTCAAGACTTCGGAATTTTTCGTAAGCATTTGTAGTTAAAGATTACACAAGTGATTGATGAATTAGCAGTGCGTTGAAATCAGAAACCAAAAGGTTTACTGTGAAAGAACGAAGCTGAAGAACAAAGGGACAACATGCAAAACTTCTGCCATGTGAATATTATTTAGTATCAAAATGATAGAATGACAAGCATCCACCATGCATATATGAATTATACAAGCAACCCAAAATTGGTGCATACGGAATTTAGACATAATGTTGGTTTGTGATTCGAAATATGTATGTATATGAATTATACAAGCAAGCCAAAACTGACGCAGAAGCAACATCTAAACATTATGTTGGCTTCCGAAACTTAAGGGCATCAAAGCGGGCAGCAAGTGCGTCGTAATCTGGTAATTTCGGATGAACTCGAGAAATCGTAGCTGCTGAAGGTGGGGGTGGTGGAGGACGCTCAGGTGCTTGATGAAAGCCACTAGGAGGTGCCTCCATTTCAACTTCTTCATCACAGTCTGATTCATCAAACCTAATATCTGAGTGTTCTGATGGGGCATTATAGCTGTATCTCCTGTAGACAAATTTCTTCTCATCTCCATGGCTAAGCACTGTTTTCTCATTTCTTGAAGAATGAGACCTATCAATTCCACAAGCTTGAGATTGGTGATCGATATTCTGCGAATCAACTGGTGGACAATCTGGCATGAAGTGGCCAGTGGAATGGCCAGAAGGGGTTCCAAATCCATTATTGACGCATAGAGGAACTTGAGGTGCTTGACTTAAGTCTTTGTTGGCCAGATATGCAGCAACTTGTGCAGCAGCCATTGCTTCATTTGCAGATTTTGCAGCTGCTTCAGCAGCAGAGGCCGAGTCTGCAAAATGCATATGTCCCCTTTCTCCACTGCTACTTGTTCTGCGTGAAGAGCTGGAAGAAAGTATGACACAAATATAATTAATGGATGATCAAAATATGCTCGAGTATTACAATGAGTAGAGCAGCCAAGTTACCTGGTGCCTGGCTTATTGGGCTGAACAGATCCCCTTTCTCCACCGCCACTTGTTCTGCGTGAACTGGAAGAGAGAATTATAGAAATAAGATAAATGGGAAATCAAACTATGGTCGAGTTTAAATTACAATGAGATACGTAGAATAGCCAAGTTACCTGGTGTCTGGCTTATTAGGCTCGACAGATTGGGCCTGCAAAGGCATGCTGGTAGCACTGACAAAATTGCTTGGTCCTTGCTGTTCAAATAACAGTAAACAGAAATCTTAAAATGGGAAATTTCTTGAATATAACCGAGAGAGAGAGAGAGAGAGAGAGAGAGAGAGAGAGAGAGAGAGAGGGGAACACACTATAAGCTCTTCTGGAGGCTTGAGAAGCTCCTGTTCAGATTCTGATGTATCCCACTCAACATGGTATTCCTTGGCTATCTCCTTCAGGAGTTTCAACTTTACTTCACCCGTAGGGGTTCTAACAGAGAGCTTGTCAATCAGCTGTAAAAAACATAAGCACTCAACTATCATTCACAGAAATAAAATATGAACTGAAATCAGAAAATTCAAATGGTTGATTAAATCTACAACTCTAAATGCTATGACAGGAAGATCATGCTTACCATGCGGTTTACACCACAGCTGGGTCGTACGTCAACAGCGGCAGATACAAAATCTCTTCCATATTTTTTCTCAAAAATATTCCGAAGCTCCAATAGTTCTGGAATCTCAGAGCACCTTGGGGATGCAAAGATTAAACTGGCAATCCCTTCTTTGAGATCAGCTGGACATTCCCTGTAACAAATTGGATCAGCATTGGGATGAAGATAGCTGCGAAATGCATCAAAGATATTACAGTATCATTACCTTTGCTTTGCAATGATAGAAAGTCTGGACACTACTAATTCACAGAAAAGCTCAATGAACTCATTTGCAGCCAAAACATTCTGCTCTCTGATCACATGTTCAACCTACACAACAAAAAATTCATTTGTAATTAGTGCCACATTCCAGATCACAAATATTGAGTCCACAGCAAATTTCAGCATAAGCAGAACATTGGTACTATACGAAAACTAAAATATTTTCAGATTCACATAAAAAAGGGAAATCAACATTCACAAGCTTGGGCAGCCGTTTGAAGGGACATCCTAAAAATTTATAAAACAGATGATGCTGTCTACCCACAACAGAGTCAATAAAATATATAAAGAAACAAACAAATCGAAGAGGAAATTGTTCTAATCACTGTCAGGGTAAACCATTCAGACAATACATATTAGTCCAAAAACACGTAGACATTTGATAATTGAATAGAAACTAAGTAGTAGAAACTATAGTGGGCTGTTTTTCCAAACAAACAGAGTTGCTGACATGTTTTTAGAGCATAGAGACCAAAAGCCATGAACTTTAGATTACTATGATAACTAAATGAATAATAAAAAGTGTTAAGTACCCGGATTCGAGCAGTGGCGTCTTGACCTGACTGGAGGAGCAAGGCAATGTCACGCCTCATCTGCTTCACCACCGCCTGTCTCTTGTTCCTCAGTAGCTTTATCCTAGCCACCGCCATTTTCGCTTGCATTTTGCTGTTTCATTATTCAATTCATTTATCCCCATCAAAAAACGAAAACCATTCAGCAAAAGACTAACTCCCATCATGTTAAATTGCAGAGAAAATGCAAACGCTGAACAAAAGATTTCAACTTTAACAATTTTACCATCTGGGTCTCTAAAACTCCTATTCCCACCCCGTTAAACTGCCGAGAAAAAGCAACCACTGATCAAAGATTTCAACTTTAACTTTTCATCATCTGGGACTCAATAACACCTACTACCCACATTTTCTCGGCAACCAAACATAGGAACTAGTTAAAGTAACACAGAAAAGTTGCCTAAAAATTAAAAATTTAAGAAACCCAGAAAGGGAAACGGCAGAGAGATAGAAAAATGTACCATTTGGAGGAGTTAAATCCCCAGCGGAAGAGAGACCGGCCGAGCTTCACGAGCTTCTTGGTGTGGGTTGTGGCTACAGTGGCAACAGTCATGGTCTGAGAGAGAGTGTCTGAGTCTGAGACCTAAGACTGAAACACAGCTTCCTTTGGGGGTTGGGTTTATGTGTAACGGTAAGCCTGAATTGGAACGTTTTTTCAGCTTACTGAAATTGGAACAGGGAACGCTTACTCATAGAACTAGAAATTATACTTGAGATCCTTTTGAGGGGCCCACTTGATTACCGACCTTCCTATTGACTTGTTTGATGTTGGGATTATAAATGGGGAATGGGCCTCTAAAAGGAAAATATAGCCGTTGGGATATGACGCGTGGGAGAGAGCTGGATCGTGTGAGAGAAGAATCCAATGACAAAGTCGGTGTGTTGCAACTACAATCTCGCAAAAAGCCAAAAACAAAAGAGAAAAAAAGAGAATGTCTGTGTGTTGTTGTTTGTTTCGACATTAATCTTTGTTTTTTTTTTTTTTTTTTTTTTTGTTGTTGTGTCACACTCACACTAGTTTATAGTGTTATTAGTTCACGAGTTGTGTCATAACATCAATAATTAGTAACACTACATGATCATCTGATGATCACACCGAAAAATTAGTAATATTATGTTTTTGTGATTTATTGTAATCATATAGATATAGATTTGGATTGAAATCATATTAAAATCCGATCCATCTTGAGACATATGCAAAATAACTTGCCTTTTGGTTAAACTCTAAACTTGTGTGAACGAGTAATGAACTTCCTCTATCTATTTTTTTGGTTGTTGAATATATGAGTAAAATAATAGAGGAAGAAATGCCCCACTAATGTTTGGATTTTTAAATAAAAACAGTAGTTATTTGTGGCTTATTACTAACAGCTTCTTTTTAAATCTAATAAATAAATGTTGTGTCATATATGATTGAAATAGTCATATTTTAAGTTGGTAAGGACAGTGAGCTCATCCCCTTGCACCTAAGTTCGAATATCTCTTTCCGTAAATTAGATTAATATTTCCCCCAAAAAAAATTGATTTTTCATATTGATTTTTGATTTGATGATTTTTTATTATTTGATTTTTTTTTTTTTTTTTTTTTTTTTTTTGTGTGGCCATGATTCATATATCTAGCTAACCATATTAGATTTGAATGGTAATTGGATTTTTTCAGAGCAATTGTAACGTTTGGATTAAAATCGAAACAATCTTAAGAATACGTTTCGATTCTCATGGATTTGGGAATACATCTTAAAACTTTCTAGCACTAGAACCATAAAGATTGAGACTTTAATTCAACTTGTATTGTATATACATTTATACACGAGCACATGAAAATTCAGATTTACACAAATTGGTGAAGAACAATATATTTTTGTAGATCCTCTAAAATTCGGATCCCATGCCACCAATGGGGATATGATGATCTCAATGAGAAAATATGTTTAGGAGAGAAACTCTGGTGCGGATCAACAGCCTAAACAAGCCCTCCAAACCATTTTCAAGGCCTTCCATGCTTGAATCCAAAACCTCCAATCTTCTCTGTGCAGATTGAATCTTCTCAGCCTCAATTTCTTCACTTGCATGATTCACAAGCATGTTGCCAATTGCAATATCTACATTTTCCAGCTCGTTCATGTTTTTGTGTTGGTTGTTTTCACACTTCAAAACCCCTCTGTGCACCGAAATTGAAACCAAAGACCATCTGCTAGGCCTTGGCTTCAAAACTGGTGTGGAGAGGAAAGAAACAAGTGACTGGAAAACAGAACTGGTGATCAAACTTGCCTCTCTGAGCACCCTCACCACCGCAGCGAGATGGTTGTCTAGATCCAAAGGGAAGGCTTCATGCTTGTGATCCATTTGCTTCAATGATGCTACAAGCTGCAGAATTTCCTTCTTGGTCTTTTTCCTGATGCATGTATATGAACCCAAATTGTCTTCAAGGCTTGAATCTCCTCCAACTTTTCTTCGTCGAAGCGCAGATTGAAGATCTCTAACACTCTCCTTCATTGCCAAAATGGCATCTCTTGTGTTGCCACAGACATCCAAGTACTTGACAGAACCATCAAGCAATTCTTCAACCCATCTCTCATTTTGATGCAGGGCTAGGGCCTGTTGAGTCATTGGCAATTGAAGAAGATCCTCAATGCAAATGTACAAGTCTTTAAGCCCAAAAAGCCCTTTGCATATTGAATCTGCCTTTGCTTCTGATGTTGTTGTTGTTGTTGCCTCCCAAGCCTTGAGCTTGTTCAACTCTTCTTCTGTTCTGAGTGTGCTGGGATGTGATCTAACAGGCAAACTAATAGATCGAACATTGTATCGCTTCGAGGGCTTTGGAGAGAATGTAGCCATTGTTGCTCTTTTCATCATAGAAAGGTTAAGAACTTAAGATTGGATTTCAAGAAGTTTCAAAGTGACATATTTATACATGGGAAACAATTTGAAAGAAGATGGGGAGGGGACCAAAGGCATCTTTTGGGTCCTTTAGGTCAATGTGATAAACATGTGGAGGCAGAGTGGGCTCTTCCATGGCGTGGGTTATGTTGTCACGTCTTGCACCAACTATAAAACTTACCAAATGCCTCCAAAATTTAGTATCAAATTCATGTTGTTATTTGGGTAAGGTGTCATCTCGAAGTTGGTTTTTTTTTGCATCAAAGATAGATTCATTCGGCATTTCTTCCTTCCATGCTCCACCGGCACCGACCAATTTGGGATTATCAAAAATTGGTCAAATTCATGTAAGTTGGCAGCAAAAATTAAAGGAGGAGTGGGGCATTCCAAAGTTGTTTGGATATGGAAGCTCTTCGAGAAATCGTGAAAACGTGTTTCTTTAATTCATTTTGGAATTTGGTTGGAAATGATCAGGAAGTTTACATTCAAAGCAAAAAAGAAATAAATATACATTGATATTCATATAAGGGTTGCACGAGTGGCTTGTCTTTGCAAAACAATTTGATAACAAAAACAGAGGGGGTAAGATTAGAATTAGTATTGCTTGCAAATATTTGATTTTGTACCTTTGCTTGGGAAAGAGACAACCAGAAAAAGATTTTAAGGTATATTTTACTATATTCTGTGTCAACTTACTATTAGAGTAAAGGGTGATCAACTTAAAATAATTGAGCTTCCCTTCCCAAGTCTCCTTCAGTAAGCTGCACGTGGACAACTAGATTTATAGACTTTATTCTCGCGGTTTAATTTGTACACATCAAGTTAAAAAGGAAAAGAACTGCATTTAAATCGTGTGGTGATCGATTTGGACTTGAAAATGAACAACATGGTTAGCGAAAAGAACAGAAGAAAAGTACAGATAAATGCAGAGAGAGACGGCTAGCTGAGCTGACATTTGTGAAGTTGATACATTACCAATAATATGGCTAATTGTCTATTTCTTGCTACATGATATAATTATATTCCGTCTCTCCCACATTCATGTATTCACGTGGTGTTATTTACAGTTATGAGCAATTCTGAAGGTGTGCAATTAGTGCCACCGCACAGGACTCCCGAAATTTTTATGTGTATATATTGTATATATATGAGTGCACAAAATAATTATGCAATTGTGCACTTAACATTGTTGGTTTTGTCACCCTTCTATACTTGTTAGGGGGTGTCGGTTCGATTCCTACTCCATGTGATTTAGTGGTTTTTTCAACTTAATTTTTCAAAATAGAAAAAGGCCCTCAAATTCTCAGTACCGGTAACGTCACACTCAAAAATCACTCCACCGCATCTTGGCTTCTTGGCTTGTGTGGGAGTTTTATTGTAAAAACAGCACATATAAGTCCTGCTCCATAGATTGCAGACTTTCTTGGGGAAGAGATCCGAGTGGGAATTCAGGCTAAAGATCTGATCTTCGTTATTTTTAGTTTGATGAACCCAATAAAAGAGATATTTTAGTGGACACTCAAAACTTATTTGGGTTTGAGAATCCTGGGACTTCACACGTAATCTTTACATATCCAAATTAAAAAAAACAAGAAAAAGAAAAAGAGAATAAACTAAAAGATAACAAAAGAAATACCAAGATGTGATTCAAGAACTCGGGTATCAATTGTATTTCAATATTTGTATGTCTATACGTATTACAAATGTATCGAAAGTTTATAATCACAAAGGAAATCCTGATAAAATGTGGATGCCTTGGATTTTCGAGGCAAAAAAATGGCCTTCGACAGCTCATCTCACTGTGAGATTATGTTCAAAAGAGAAGCTCTTGTTTTAATCAAGCGCCTGAAAACGCTTTCCAAACCATTCTCAAGGCCTTCAATGGTGACTTCCAAAGCCTCCAATCTTTTCTGTGCACTTTGAATCTTCTCAACATCAGTACATTCAATTGGAGCCGTTGATGACTTGCGCAGTGTGTTCAGAGCAGCATCAACACCGTCCATCTCATTAATGTCTTCCTTCTGCCCTTCACATGCTATCACTCCCTTGTGCATGAACTTTGACACCAAAGACCACTTGTTTGACTTTGGCTTGGAAACAGGCACTGCTAAGAACACCAAGAGTGATTGGAAGATGGACATGTTCTTGGAGCAAGCTTCTCTAAGCACTCTGATCACAGCAGAAAGATGCTGATCTTGTTCTACCATTTGTGATGCTCCAATTTTGCTGTCGACTTGCTTCAATGATGTGATCAGTTTCTTGGCATCCTTCTTCATTTTCTTTCTGAAGCAAGTGTAGTTGGCAATGCTGGTTTCAATGCTTGAGTCTCCCTTTCTCCTTCTGAGAGCAGACTGAAGAGCCCTAGCATGCTCCTTGATTTGTGAAATGGCATCTTTTGTAATTCCGCAGATGTCCAGGAGCCTCACTGATCCATCCAACAACTCATCCATGTACTTCTCTTGTTGGTGTTGAGAGAGGAGCTGTTGGGTTGATGCCATGTGGAGCAAATCATCTAGACACTCATACAACTCCTCTAGCCCACACAGAGCTCTGCAGATTGAGTCTGAGGTTGAAGCAGATGAAGAAGCCTCCCATGCTTGGAGCCTGCTCAGCTCCTCTTCGACTCTGAGAGTGGTAGGATGAGACCTTGAAGGCAAGCTGATTGATCTAACA